TAGCTTCAGCGAGTATTTCTACGGACAGTATGAAGAGATAAGGCGATAGGGGGCAGCCTTGTCTAACACCTCTACTTAACTCAAAGAAATTGCTTGCCCGTCCATTGTTTAGTATACAGCTTTCGGTATTGCAGTAAAATAGTTCAACCCAGTTTGACAGTGAGGGGCCAAACCCAAAGTGCCGTAACGTTTGGTTTATGAATGACCACTCTAACGTGTCAAAAGCTTTTTCAAAATCAAGGAAAAGAAGTAGACCGGGTAAACCTTTGTTTTCTGCATAATTAATAGCACTATCTAATGTGCGTATATTGTCACTGATACATCTGTTTTTAATAAAGCCTTACTGATCTTCTGATATAAGTTCCGGTAAAACTAATTGACTTTCGTGAAATAGCAAAACATCAGTATTCAGACTGATCAAGGTGCAATTCCAAAAGTTGACAGATATGCAGCTTTCCTTTCCCCACGGGCAAAATGTTTAGCTATATCACTGTCTGGAAACATAAAATTAAAGATACTGTTTATCCCTTCACACGATTTTAATGAGTTATGACTTGTTATCACCTTTAGTGTCCAGCAGATCTCTGCCTCCAATGTTGCATTTGCGCCAAGAAGAGACTGGATACTTTGCGATGCTTGCTTCGCGGGGCCAGTTCCTGTGGCCACTTGCGATGTTTCTGTTGTTTGCTGTCGACGATTTCCAGTTGACTGTGCCATCGTTGTGCTTGCTGAAGAGCTAAAAAATCGCTTATTTTTGTGGTCTTTTCATTGCTTTGAAGACATTTTTACGTTTTTTGTATGTTTCTTGCCTTTCACATGGCTCACCAAGGCTGATTTCCATTACATTCAGGTCGATGCTTTTCTTGCAGGCAAAGCAGAACGCTTTGTTTGGATTCTTGTCGTCTTTCCGCAGCCATGACTTATACTAATCTTTTCCAGCCATTTTTCATTAAAACGGCAGCTGGCAGGCATTGTGACGTCCAGGTTAACCCTCGAAACAGTTACAGAAACGCCCATTTTCGTCCCCAGAGCCACTCGGCTTAATTTGTAACCGACCAAGAAGACCAAGAAACGACGGGCTCTGGGGACGAGAATGAGAAACGCCAGAAAACACGTCCAAACCAGACATGCGCTGTGCACCTGTGGCTCAACGTACATGCGCTAGAGTAACGACAGAGCATTGGGAACGAAAACAAGCGTTTATACGCATTTTGTATTTTGTGAGCATTTCGAGAACGTCATACTTTGTTTACCTGAATATTCCTTTTCACTGGCTTTCATTTACTTTAAAACCCTAAAGCACTAATATTTTTCGATCTTCTTCAATAAAAAATCAAGGACTTTCAAGGGCCAAAAATCAATTTCAAGTACTTTCAAGGCCTTGAAATCGGACTTCTGAAATTCAAGGGTTTTCAAGACGCGAACGAACCCTGAAAATTGTAAGTGTTCTTTGCTTTTGAAGCCGATGACTATGTGTTAGTAAAGACTTTTTTATCTAAAAGCTAGTGACTTGATGGCCCTCTGAGAAGGCACTTTTAGCAAAAACCTCACGAGGTGTTGTGTAGTAAAACTAATAAAGAACTAGTTACAAAAGGAGGGTCTTTTTAATTTTAACCTCTAGAAATAATACATTCACCTTATGAAAGTGCTTATAGTTGATGCTGATCGGTGGATACCCTTACTCTTCCGTAAAAACAGTTAAAAGTTTTAAGTATTGCCATTTTCTGTTAAAAAGCTCTATTCCCCGCTGCGCTCCTCTTGTCCGCACTGAAATAAGCAGGAAGAAGGACCATGGAAACATGGATAAACCTTAGAACAGCGACAGGCGACAATGGCGTTAAACGTTGCGACGCGAAACAAAGTGGATTTTAACAACTGAAAATTGAAGGATTGTCGTTTCAAGAAAATGAGGAGAGTCTATTCAGGTAGTGGCAGTTAATTTAATTCAGACAATGTGTATCAGGCACAAACTGCCATTATTACGTGGTTTGTGTTTGTACCATCATAACAAAGACAACACGGTCCTTATCAATGAGTCTGAGATAACAATCAAAGTCAACTAATTATAACTAATGAGCTAGCGCTCCCTGGACATAGCTGGGTGGGGTATAGTAAGAGATGCTGTGAAACTTTTCCTTTACCCCAGGACACTATTAAAATAGTGCTTGCTTAGAGAAACATAACTTGAGAAACGGCAAGTTCTTTTGTGCATCATCATTCAACTCTTTACAAAGTCCTGTTGGGGAGCAACGGATGGCGCAGTGGTGAGAGCGCTCGCCTCCCACCAATGTGGTCCGGGTTCAATGATCCCGCGTCGACGTCATATGTGGGTTGAGTTTGTTGCTGGTTCTCCCCTTTGCTCCGAGAGCTTTTTCTCTGGGTACTACGGTTTTCCCCTCTCCTCAAAAACCAACACTTCCAAATTCCAATTTGATCAGGAATCGGGTAGAAGAAGAACCACTTTGTGGATGTGCTACCTCCAAATCATTATTATTATTATTATTATTATTAAAACCACAGTACTAATAGCTTGTGACCGGGCATCTGAGTGAAGCCATATAGTTGAACTCGTAAGATTCCTGTGATATAGAAAATCCTGGGAATAAGGTTATTCATCGCGGGAGAGCGTCGGATGTCTTGGCAAAGTATCAACAGGCAACATAAAACTATAGACAGCTGATACGCCTGTAAAAGTGTTAACTTGACTTTACTCCACAGGCAGGTTACCACTTAATTCTGGGATATGGCCGAATAAGTGCGGACCATACCGCGCAACAATAGCGCACGCACTAATAGTGGCCACGTCGAAGACATGTTAGTATATACACACTCAGTGATCCTGGTGATGTAAGCAATCTGCTTGGTTCGCTATCTCGGACTATTTAACAATTATTCCACGAGGGCGCGTTGGATATGAGATGATAGAGAGCCAACGAGGCGCATAGCGCCGAGTTGGCTATAATCATTTCATATCCAACAAGCCCGAGTGGAATAATTTTTTTATTAAAAACGCCCTCAAAATCTCGTTGAATCGCCCCGACTAGAACAAACCGGAAAAGACAAGGGACTTCCGCTATCCACATGTCACACGTCTATCAAAACTGTCAACGCGCGAACGGACTCGCCTAGACTGCATGATTGAAAAATCAAAACATTGTAGCGATGAACATTAGTTTTTTAAAAACTCATCGTGATTCTAGGATTTTACACAGCAGAACAGCTTAAAAAACCTGGCAGATAATGTGAAGGAAAGGAATTTTTAGGTGACAGCCGTCGAAATTACTATGAATTTGGATTTTCGGTAAAGTTATAAAAGTAAGAACAACGGAGAAAAACTACCGGTATTACCTCGGTCGCTTGTTATGAAGTTGTTTGAAGCCACAAGCTGGTTTTGCTGAACGAGAAAAGAAGCTATACTGCCGCCTCGATTGCTCTAGTGAATGGCTGCATAGCCTGTATTTGTAGCTGGTTACTTGTGATTTATATTCTTGATGTCGGATAAACAAGCTGCAGTTATCTATCGGCGAGTGACTCGATCGGCGAATGGCTTCGCGATCATGAAGAAACAACACTTGTCTTCTTTCGTAGCTGGTCAAGGTACTTTAGTTCCATGTGTTTTCATGTGTTTTTCGACAAACTTTCAAACAAGCTCTTGTGGCTTTTTTGTTTGTTTTTGTCTTTTTTCTTTCGTTGAAATTGCATTTCTAGTATTCTAAGAAATGAATTAAAACGATTTGCTTCGGGCGCCGTTCTATCCTTCGCGAAAAAAAATCTCAGCTAGCTTCCAATTTTAAACTGACGCGTACACCGACCATATATGGAGAACATGGTATATTAGCTCATATACCATAACGGCTAAGCCAATCAAAATGCTAGAATTGCATTATCCAATGATTCAGTTTTTAATAATCAACAATATTCACCTCCTAGCGAGTGGATAATGTGTGAGCTCGGTGTTTTTCCCATTTTTTTAGAGAACGATCTTTTAAAAGTCGACAAAATCCTACGGCTGACTTTTTTTAAGGCAAGAAAAGACTTGGAAGGATTCAATACGGCGTTTTTCAATTTACTGTAGCTGAGTTTTGTTCTCCATGGATTGTTTACAACTCCCTTGTATTCGCGTAGAAGAAGCCGTTTCGTGAACTCAGCGTTTTCTAACAAGTAACTTTTGGCTCAAAAATCGAAGTTTATTTATGACAAACAAATTTAAAAGGAAATGTTTGCAGAAATTCTACGTTTCAAGTAAATAGGAAAAAGAATGATACAGGAAGACGACGTCTTACCTCGAGCAACCGAGCCGCCATTTTTGTCAGCACTTCATGCGAAGAACGACACAACAAACCCTTTTGGCTATAAACTTGGCGAGTCAACAGAAAACAACAAAGCTCTACTTTTCTTCTCAGGTAAGGAAACAATTCAAACTTTTAACGGTTCCATTTAAGCTATTACGCTGTTGCTTGCGAAGTGACAAACTTGTGAATTGCCATGTTTGAAAATTCTGCAAAGATCTATTTTTAAACTTACGCGTGATTTGATCTGTCAATCAAATCGTACTTTTTAATGGTTTCCTCCCTGTTTTTGTTGAGATCACTTCGTGTGTATATACTAAAACAATTATTCTTTTCAATCTCGGTGAATAGTGGCTTTGGGAATATTCACCTCGATTTCAAAGAATAATTGTTAATTAGCAGGCGAACGCAGACGGATTTATTTACCGTTATTCTTCGGGTGGAGCGAAGCGACGACCAAAAATGCGTTCGTAGGCTAAAGACCTGTGGACGGCTCAGTAAAACCAGTATTTAGAGAAGCGATGGCTGTGCAAAGCCTGTTCGCGAAGGATTATGACAGAGAGCCTCAACTAAGGTATAATGAACATGGGCAGAAGTGAGTACAGCTTGCTACTTTGCGCCTTGCTTTTGCAGATGCTATCCAGAAAGCGCTTATATTTTATCTCGAAGTAAATCGTAGAATACCAGACCATGACTGAATATTTACAAGGATCACGTCAGTCTCATGTTAAGCGCGTCATCTGGTGGTTTATCAGGATACATCTCATGAACATCAGAGCTGTTATACAGTACTGGGGTTTGATGAGATGTGCAGGAAGATTCAGTAGATTTCTTCTGAGGAAAGATAGCCTTCTGAAGTTCAGCATCTTCACTGTATGGTGTCTCCAAACGCTTGAGAAGTTTTTGTACCTGTAAACCAATATTTGACTCGATTGAAAATAATAAAATAAATGCTGAATGCATTCTTCATTATCTAGGCAAAATGAAACCTCCAAGCATTAAGACTTCTGCAATCACGTATCTCTGAACAAGGTAAAGGGCGCAAAAAGGAGAGGGGGAGAGGGGGGGAGAAAAGTGCAAAAAGGAAAAGGAAAGGGAGCTTTACCGTCTCTTCCAAACCCCTCTCCCTATTCCCCTTGCTCCCCATTCCCTACCCCATTTCGACGCCTGCTACGCAGGCTAGATGAAGGTGTAGATCATCCCAGGGGTTTAAGCGAGGAAAGGGGTCAGCGCGTGATCAGTAGACAAACCTTGTCTTCCCGTCATTTTACCTATTTTTGTAACCACCAAAATTATTACGAAACTAGATGGTAAAAAATGTACAATCCCTACAGGCGCAAGAATTTGAAAAAAAAATTAAACAAAAATAAGTCAAACAAGTATAGCGCACAGTTTTGGGAGTTGTTGTGGTTGTCATTTCCTTCTCTTCTTTTCTTTTCTTTTACTTTAAGTAAAGCGTTGACACTAAATACTCCACACCAAATAATACTGTATGATAAAATGCGTAGTTTCAAGTTTGTTGTTGGTTCTCTCCTTTGCTCCAAGAGGTTTTTCACTGGGTACTACGGTTTTCCCCTCTACTCAAAGACCATTATTTCCAAATTCCAATTCGACCAGGAATCAGGTAGACTAAGATTGGATATGCTACCTCCAAATCATTTTTATTTATTTAATTTTTAATAAAATACTTCCGGTAACATCAGACCGGACATAAACGAATTTCACCCTGTCCTTACCACAGTGAAATCGCCACTTTCCGCTGCCTCTATTGCATTCTGAGCGATGTAATTTCTTAAAATAAATCTAAAGAGGGAATATACAACAGTTAAGAATGATTACTGAGCTGCCAAACATTTATCTCAAAGCCTTGATTATAGAACTCTGGCTAAGGAATAGAACACTTTCATACTAAAAAATCCCAGATCATATCAGTTCATCTCCTGCAAATTTGTCATGGTCAAGGGTTAGGATAAAATAGATAAGTTTAGGAGAACTCTGGACTAGAAAGAAGACCGCCAACGCGTATAACCCGCCAAACCCGCAAAAACCTATCCTCCTTTGAGGGGTTCTCTGGTCAATTTGAGAGTTCACAAAGATTTTCAAAACAGGGCATCACGAAACTGCATTTTCAGTCTTCTTCTAACAAAACCGCTCTGTTCCGACCAGCATCAATGGAAGAAGCTAGCTAAAAGTGTCTTTCCTCTAACTGGAGTCTCGGGAAGAAACCACCCTGCCATTTTAATAGCACTTAATCAATTAGATGTGATTAGATGTACGACTATTTATCGGATGATAAGTTTATAGCGTCATATATATCTCCAAAACGTTACAATACAACAGTATACAGTTATTATTTCGCACCTTGGATTGTTTGAGTTCATTATCCCGATCCGTTTGTTATTAACCTATGTTAGGGGAAAAAATACAACATTTACGAGACTGAAAACAATCGAATACCGCCGCCTGGTTAGCTCAGTTGAGAGCACCGGCCTGCTGGGCGGGAGGTCGCGGGTTTAAATCCCGACCGTACCAACACTCAGGGTCTTCAAGTAATTGAGAAGAAAATGCTGCCTTTGTATATTTTTGATGACATCTGTAAGCAGTTAGACTTCCCGGATAAGGACGAAAGTAGCGGGTCCCGTCTCACAACACTTTCACTTGTCTGGTTCTTGTGGGACGTAAAAGAACCCACACCACTGTTCGAAAAGACTAGGGGACGTACACCACAGTGGTGTCGCCAAGCTTTCCTGGGCTGGGTGGGTTATCTGTAAGGAGAGATCTTAATATAGGGATAACCTCATGATCGTCCTTCAGGTGTTCTAATGGTAACTGTAAACAGTATATGTAATATGTAACCTGCGTTTGTAATCCATGCAATAATCTGAAAGGTATGAAGTGAATTGCCGGTAATAAGTCTTCCTTAATAAAATCGTCGAACATAAAAAGCAGAATTCCTATTGAAAAAATTCATAGTCCAAAAGACTAGTAGTATAGGGCGCACCGGTTAGGCCTCTTTTTTGAGCAGGAATCTCATTAGCGTGAGCAGGAATACATTAACACCGATGACGTCATAGGCTATTGTCCTCATCTCATGAATAAAATGTGGTGGATTTAATTAAGTATACTGGTGACTTAAAATCACTGAGACGTAACGTAATTATGCACTTCCTATTTCCTGCTGCTGTGATTGTCCTTGTTCCGGTTCACTGATTTTTGGCGGGCAAATCGTGTATATTAAAGAGGGCAAAGGCAAACTAGCTCTTTTTTGCACTGCAAGCAATGCTTTACTTACCCCTGTCCATTTCATTTTTTATTTTCCTCCTCCTCCACAATTTTATTATTTTCCTTCCTCAAATTTTTTATTCCCTCCTCCTCCTCCTCCTCCTCCTCCTCATTTTTATTGTTTTCCCTCCTCCTCCTCCTCATTTTTTATTGTTTTCCCTCCTCCTCCTCCTCCTCCTCCACCTCCTCCTCCTCATTTCTATTGTTTTACCTCAACCACCACCAACACCACCATCACCACATTTTGATTGTTTCCCCCCTCCTTCACCACCACCACCACATTTCTATTGGTGGTGGCGGTGGTGGTGGAGGGAAAACAATAGAAATGTGGTGGTGGTGGTGAAGGAGGGGGGAAACAATCAAAATGTGGTGGCGGTGGTGGTGGTGGTGGTGGAGGTAAAACAATAGAAATGAGGAGGAGGAGGGAAAACAATAAAAATGAGGAGGAGGAGGAAAAATAAAAATGAGGAGGAGGAGGTGGAGGAGGAGGGAAAACAATAAAAATGAGGAGGAGGAGGAGGAGGAGGAGGGAATAAAAAATTTGAGGAAGGAAAATAATAAATGGTATGGCTGTAGAAGTAGTCAGTTAAGAAGGGGGGAGGGGAGGGAGGCGTAGACCTTGGTTACATTTATTTGAAAGATTACTCATGTTTCACCAGACTTCTTATAATTTTTTTTTAAAAATTACTACCGTTGTTATTATAACTATTAGTTATGATAAAAGACTGAAGACATTGATGTAAATGGCTTTATTTACAGAGTATTTATTTACTAGAGCTTTATTATTTTAGAAGGCCAGGCTATGCAAACTATACACTTGATAAAATACTTGGCCTTTAGGAATTAACCACCACTGGGAACTGTCTAAATTATTTTATTACGATAATTTGATGTGTGTATCCACACATGTATGCTACTGTACTGCTAACCTTGAACATATACAAGTAACATTAAGACATAAATGAAAGTGTTGTGACGTGTTTGCCTTGACAAAATGAGGGCAAAGTTGAGAGACTGTTGCAAGGCTCACTAAAATAATTACATTAAACAAATACCATTAACTGCTTTAAAAACGTTCTGAAGGTCAACTTGTCCTCCCTTTTAATAATCATACTAGATAAATGAACATGTAAGTCCTAAATTTATAGCTCGTCTTTGTGGTTACCTTGATGGTACTTACATGTTTCAGTATCAGTCCTGCCCCGGGAGCCAAATCAGTTTGATAATCTTCCAGAACTTTGCGATGCAGCGTTCCATGAATCTCACCTGGTAAACAAAATAAATTCACTCAAAAAACAGCAGAACACACAACAGATAGTAATTTACATAAACAAATATTACATTACCTTTATCTTGTTTGAAGTAAACAAACTTCAGAAAATTGAAAATTTAATTGAAAATTGGAGAAAATTGCATGGTAACTTTAGAAAAATAAATACTGCCATGAAACTTACAATGTAGCTGCAAAAATAGCATAAATACTACTTGACATATTACAACTGCTTTTTAAGAATATGGGCAAGACTAAACTTTGCTAAATCCTGAAACTTCCCAGGAAAAGGGAAATCCATAAACGGGCTTAATTTTCCCTTGGCAATATTTTGAATCAAAAATAGAATATGAAGAATGTTTAAAGATCTGAGAGGGCATTATCAACGGCTTGTTGGTTAGTACAGTATCCTCTTCGATCTGAATAATTCTTCATGATATTATCATAACCGGCCTAATATTTGCAATAATTGCCAGTTATATTTAAAATCAATAATTAAATGGGGGATGTTTTTATATCTCCAAGTTATCCTGACTGGATGTCAACTTTGCCCCTGTTTATCATACCTGTAGGATCCTTGAGCAAAACACTAGCATCTGCTTGTTTGAGTGAAAAGGCTTTAACAAGAGCACACAGACATGGCACTTTACCATGATCTAGTGTTTGCTGAATAGCCTACAGGATTGAATGAATGTTCTTGTTCAGTTATAATTTTATGAAGCCTATTAAGTACATCTAATGTAGGAAATGTCCAATGTGAATCTGTCCATGTGCATGTCCATACGTACATGTACAATGTGTAAGTAATGAACATGGTTGTCCAGGTGAGTACTGTCCTGAAAAAACCCTTCTTAACAGCTACTGGCATTTTGTGCTGTCATGACTGAAAAATGTGTCTGTAGATCTAATTATGCAACTCTGTTATTGTGAAACTGTAATAACAGAAGCCTAGTTCAGTCAAAAGTATACAGTTTACAGCAAGCATTTGGCTGCTGTTTAATTTCATAATACACATATCAGAGGGTACAGTAAAACCCCGGATATAAGAACCTGGATTTTTTAACTTAGCCTTTGTAACAGGTTCTTATATAAATGTTACTTAAAGCAGATTTAGACTACCAAGGTTCTTAACCCATTCGCCCCTGCACCGCCCGTGCGGATCCAGGTCCTTTCTACCCATTGTGACATCATCAGTTTTAATGGTCAAGGACAACTTTCTTCGCTAACAGAATGAAGAGATCTTTCAAACCATACCAGAATGAGTACAATTCAGTCAAGGACACCAGAGAAAGAAGCAAAAAACCACCTGACATTGACCTGAAAATCTCCACGAAAATCTTGTTCCATTACCCTCCTACCTTTCCTTTCACCTAATCCTAAGATCCTAAAAGCTTTCCAAAAACTCTTCCCACCAAAATCAAGCCTACTAAATACCCAGCAAGAGAAAAAAAAAATGAGGCAAGAAAAGCGAAAAAAGAAGGGAGGAGGGAAAGCGAAAAGTAAAAGTCAAGACTGCTGTGTCACTTTTAAACCCAAAAACTACCTTGAAATTTTGCTTTCTGCGCATGCCTGAACTTCGCAAGCTGATATTTTGCATCTGGATCAGAAGGACGCGAAGTGTTCGACCTGTAAACCAGTTTGTGGTAAGTTTTAGCTCTTTATAGAATGACAGTGACCAGAAAACCACTCGACTAGCTTCCAAACGCGTTTTTCGGCAAAATCTCCAGGAGCGAATGGGTTGAAATAGGTTCTTACATTTTCATATGAATTTCATTTAAATATATTATAAATATAATCTCATAAATCATTTATACCATACAGTAATGCCTAAAGGCAGTACAGTGCAGGTACGTCCTTAACAAACCATAACAAACAAAGTCATAGTCAGTTCTCTGAAATGCCATTTCAAAGTTGATACCAAGAAAATCTTGGGACAAATACAATACATTCATAACCAGTTCCACTGATGTTAATATGTTAATATGATCACAGCCTTTTCTCACTTAAAATTTTAGCCTTAATAGGTTCCTATGTGGAGGGGGCTTAAAATGAAAATTTTAGCCTAACAGGTTCTTATACGCAGGGTTTTACTGAACCACAAAGTGAGAACTAACTGTAAATGCATCGGCACTAGTCCTGTAGATATATAAACATACAAAATAATTGTACCTCTGAATGTGCTCTGATTATGGTATACCTCATTGTCAATGGAACATCTGCAGCAAAAAATGTTAATATGATCACAGCCTTTTCTCTTTCAGTTACATGTAGTTACAGACATATCTGCAGTCACAAAATTATTGCATACAACAATGCATGATGAACCAATCTTCCCCTTGCCTTTACCCCAAATAAATAAATCTGCTTCCAGCTCTTACCCCCTGTCCCTCTGGACCTGACACCTATGGGAACTAAAGTGGTGAAATAATGGACTATATATACATGTAATTATTTCAGGCAGTACAGTAAAACTCAAACAGACTCTACATCAAAGAACAACAGGGGGAGAACATGGATGAAAACCAAAGAAAATTGCCAATATAGCGCTGACAATTTACAGATGTATAAATTATGTAATTGAAGGTCCAGGGTGAAGAGAAAAGGCACATAGCTGGATTTTTACAGTTTGAAAATACACATACACTGTACATGTACAAAGTTGCAAACTAGATCACACAAAAACTTACTTTTGAGGAATTCCTGATACATACAAGTCCATGGATCTCGATTAAAATCGTCATCTTCTGTTGTACTTGACTGAGAAACCTGTGAAGGAGAAGAAAAGTTAGTGTACCAATCTTGTGGAATATTTTACATGTAACAATGGTTAGTGCAAATACAACGCTTATTCAAGTGATCACAATCCTTAGACTTATGCTGTAAGAGCATTTATTTTTATGCAATACCATATACTCAAATTCACAAGTGTCTCACACTCCAAGAACAAGAATGAAAGATTTATAGTCAGTCATTCCTAGTTCTACAACATATTAGCCCGGTGTTCTTTTAAGCTGCCATGTCCCTTGATTAAGCAACTTGTTATCGAGTCACAGTGGACAAAACAATTGCTTACTGTACTTAGCCAATGAAACAGAGGTTCAACTGTGATCAAAACCAAATGAAAAGTATCCACTTTAATTACTTCAGCCACATGACTATAATATTGTAAACAAGCATACTAAATCTTGCAATCTTATGGAAATATGAAATAAAATATCATTACATACTTTACTCTGAACTGTTGATGGTTTTTTTGTAGTTGGTAGTGGAGAAGCAAAAGAAGAATCATCAAGGTTTTGACCAGGACTCTGCAGTAAACCAAACAACAATATAGTTTGTTCTCCTTGCATGAAAGTCAACAATACAAATAATTAGTAACATTTTATCTATATTAAAACATAACTCAGTGAATTTTTTCTTTTACTTGAGACCCTTAGTGTTAATAAAAACATTTCTTACTCACCAGTTTAGGCAGCAGCCCAGCAGGACCAGGAAACTTCCTTGAAATTGGTGTTTTGCTGCTAAGCGGAGTAACAGCTTGGTAAGCCTGTGGTGTCCTAGGACTTGTAATACCACCCTGCCTGGACACTCTAGGGCTTTCAAACTCCCTTGGTCCAATGTTATTTTCATTAAAGGCATTTGTAATAGACTGTCTTTTTCTTTCACTAGAGGAGCCAGTAGCTGTACTGCCTGTTATATTGGAAAGATCTCCAGTTGGAATTCCAGCCACTAGTGTTCCTGTTGATTGTTTTTTTGTTTGTAACAATGCAGAATTAGCTGCACCTTTTGAACTGCTTAATGCCTTGCTACAATTGGATGAAACCTCGTGCAATCTAGAAAATTCTTTTCTCAGTAAAGGTGTTGATGAATATGTAGGATCGCTTCCAGATGAGGATGAGGCACTGTCTACTGAGTGATGCACTCTGTTGCTTGAACTGGAAGGTCTAAAGCTATATTGTTGTAGTCCCTGTATTTTTGAAACACAAGCAATTGAGTTCCTCTGAACTGGTGAAGAATTATCACAAGAACGTATTGTAAGAGACGAATGGTCTGCTGAATTTAGCGCGGAAGATGAATTCAGCACATTGCCTCTTGGAGAATTAAATGCAGTTGGTTTTACCAAAGTCTGGTGTGGATCAATAGCAAATCGCTTTGCAAACGGAATATTCAGTGCACTAGTTGACAGATGGGAAGTTGAGCTGTTGTTTGGACAGTTTATAAAAGAGGAACTGCTATGTGTTTGCTCTGAAGACCTTTTAAGGTCAGAGGTCCTTTCACTTTTGCTTTTGTTACTAATGCATTCAAAAGGCCGCCTTTCATAACTCTTTTGTTGTTTTTCCACTTCTTTAGTTCTCAAGAGCTGCCTTGTAAAGCTTGATTGGTTCAAACCAGTAACTGAATTACTCTTGGAATCTTCTACTACTCTATCAGTTGAAGAGCCTATGCCACATGCTGCCAGTAAGCAATCCTTTTAAAAATCCAAAACAAAAACAAAAAATACATACATGTATAAGCTCATGCTAAAATAGATAGTTTAATACAAGGTCCTACTATGAGAAGTACTGTTCATGTAGGTAGCCTAAAAGTTTTAAAGTATGAATTTCAGCTGGCCAAAGGTCCAGGCATTGAAAGTTTCTAAATGCAAAAAAACGAAGATGGTTGAGCAAGGACACAGGCACATGTAACCACTGAAAAAAGTCACAAGGAGGCACTGAGCACTGCTTGAGCATAGCCTCCACCAATGCCTCCTGATCTAAGATCAAACAATAGAGTCTGAGCATGATGGCCATGTTGTACACAATGTAGAAGTAAGTAAAAAAAAAACTAAAAGCATGAAAATGAAACTTTTTCCCTAAGGAAAATCGTTTTATTGTTTTACTCCTCCAACATGGCCATCGCGTACAACAACAACAACAAGAACAACAACAAATAATCAAGCTTTATTCACTGGTGTCTCTTCATTAATAATGCTCTTCCAGTGAGCTTTTTACATAACAAAATATTTCAAGAGAAACTACACTAATGCTAAAAATACATATTTCATTAGCATACATTACCATACCCAAAAACAAAAGAAAAACAAAAATTACCTGAAATAAAAAATTAACTACAACATATATACTAAAAGAAACTATCTTAGAATTGATTACTAAGCTCACCTCGTCGTCCAGATCCAACTCATCTTCACCAATTGAAAACAGAGAAGACATTCTACAACTTGACACTATCGACTGTAAATTCGGCTCCCATTAATTCAACCGAGATTTTATGTGTGAGGTATTCTTAAATATCTTTCTCTATTGAAATTAACATCATTATACTGTCGTATTTCATCTTTGGACTGTCTCTAAACTGTTGTGGACGACGGCCATTTTGTTCAAAAACCGCGCGCACATTACGCATGACAACTAGCGAACAGTCCTGACCTAATGACCACGATTATTGCAGGCTCGAAATTCCGGGGTGGTGGACGGGCAACCTCATCCCTATGACTCCCAAGGGTTTTTCTCGTGAACGGGGGGTGGGTAGCCTGCGAGCAAGGGTCCTTGCAGGCGGCGAAAGTTTTCTCGTAAAAGTTGAGATCGACAAAATATGTTTCCGTGGCGTTTTTTGTGAGGGCCTGCTTAATTAATACGAACACAATCCTGACCAATTCTGCACAAAACCGACACTACGGCTCAGATGTCCCCCCTTCTAAACCGCAAGAAAATCTGGAAAACGTCTACTAAGAACTCTGGGAAAGCGATCCTTTGGGGAGGCAACTTCCTCAATATCAATTGTGAAGTAGATACAACGTCCTCATGGCGATGTGTGAAACAGATGAAAGTAGACCTTGAAATTGAAAGAAGAAAGAGGTGTTGAACAATTGCTATCATTATTGTTTTATACCTTTGCTTGGTGTATTCTGCGATTCATCCTACTTTTCTGTGCAGCCACGATTCATCGATCAAATTATTAAACAGGTATCGGTAGGCATAACATTGTACAAATGTGTTTTAAAATAATGTCAATTTCGCCATGATACACTGTGTTTTCCCCCCACCAACTTATTTATTTTCGTTATTGTTCTTAAATGCAGTCTTGGGACGAAAAGTTTACATGAGGGTGCCAGGGGGGTATAGTTGTAGTCAGTAAACAGCTAAGAATATGCTACTTAGTTAGTAAACAGCTAAAAAAACACTAGTCAGTCTGTAATCAGCAAAAAAAACGTTAAGTTAGTTAGCTGGCATGGTTGTGAGTCCTGCAGACGTTAAAATCGTTTATAGGGTGGTGTTTCCAAATCAATCACACCCCTTAGACTCCCAAGCACTCTCCCACTTTTCCAGTACTGGTCTGCAATGTCATCATATCAGTCTGAAGAAAATTATTTCTTACAAATCCAGCCTTACTAACGTCCGATTTGTCTTCCATTGTTGAGCCTGGAAGACAGCACACTCCTCTTCATCTTCTTTCAGTAAATAAAATTCTTAAACATTTAAAAGCACTTGATGACATCTGAATTTCTGTACACAGATATTGTGCTGCTTATCATAACTATAATAAAACTCTCTACTCTAATTTGCTATTGGCAGCCCTGATTTATAATGGTAATAGGACTGAGTGGAGTCCAATTCAGTCTGTGATCACAGGGCTCAAAGTTTAAATTTGAGTTTGGGAGCACTTGTGCTACCAGATGTAAATTTTTAGGCGCACTGCCGAAATTTTAGGCAGACAGCTTATAATGTTGGGAGCATCTATTTCAAAAGGAAAAGTAAAAAGCTTAACAGTGCCACGTTTATTTGTCATCTTCAGTTTCTTACTTTCACTTCAGTTCTATGATTGATAAAACACAGCCGATTTGCTACGCAGCAATTAATACCGTTGTGATTTTTAATACTAATTTCTCTTTTTGACAGTACAGTTGTGACTAAAGAAAACTTACACTTGAAAAGCAATTCAAAACTGACAACAATGAGTGTGTCGAACGAGAATGAAAATTAATCTTCAATGAATTTGTTAAATGTGCAATGACTTACATGTAACTGGAATACAACTTAAAAAACTTTCTTACCTGGAAAAAAGGCTCTTAATCCGCACTGTTTTTGTTTTGATTGACGTTAAAACTGAACGTTTGACATGATCGTCCATTGCGCAAAAAGTACGTGTTTCGTTGGTAGCATATATTTGCATGTGTCAGCGGTGTTTATTACAAAACAGAAGAGTCTGGAATGGAGTAAAACATCGAAACGAAAAAGAACATTCAAGTTTGTAGAATCCATTGAGAGAAAAAACCAATTAAACATAAACCGTCTTTCTAGTTCGAGTTCGTAAGTATAGTCGGAAGTTAGTCAGTTGCACTGTGCTTTGGGTTTTAAGGCGCACAGGTGCGATTACACATGAATTTTTAGGTGTACAACCAAAAATCCAGTCGCATATGTGACCAGTTAGTTGCTAACTTTGAGCCCTGGATCATGCGAGTGATTAACAAAATTGGTGCAATTTCTTTTATTCATGAGTCATAACGGATACAGTTTCCGTGGAAATAAATGCATTCTTTTTTGGTGAAAGAGCATTTGAATACCAAATGTCCAAATGTCCAAATGTCCAAAATTAGGGAAAATTGGCGGAGACACTGTCTAATATTACAAATTTGTCCATTTTGGAAAATCCCAGGTTTGGTAGGGTAAATGGTTGTTGCCATGGTTATTGAGATAACTTCTGGGATTGGTGGATTTAGTTGAGTGCACTTAATATGATTGGCTAATGTGACTGTCCGATTACAGCAGGGCTCGAAGTTGCGACCTGTGGGTCACCAATGTGACCAGCCTTTACTCAGTGGTGACTAAATTTTCACGCCTGGTCGCCAACCTGTCCTTCAAGATAGGTGACTTTCTTCTTTGGGAAAACGTACAATGATGATAATTTGTTATCCTTTACAAAACTAACAGATAGTTAACGGTTTTGCTAATGTTCTAATGTTTTGCCCAAATGCTCTGTTTGTCTAAACGTTTTACAATTTGTCTAAACGCTTTAACGATTTCTTCCAACACTCTAATGGCTTGTTCTTATGATCTAACAGTTGGTCCGTCTAACATTTGACTTTTACTTGAAAGAGGATTGTGAAAATCACAAGTGATGAATTCGACAAAAGTCTTATCGAATTTCAGGTAGATTGATCGCAATTCTCAGCAGGTCGTCCGGTGTTTCTCTGGGAATGATTTTTAGCCCATCGATTTAAAACAATTTCTTAATGTCAAACATGTATCTCGATTGCGGACTCGATAGCAGATTAGTCTGACAATAGCCTAAGCTAATCGAGAACGAACGGCTCTTATTTCTCAAGCTTCTTGTAAACAACTTTATTGAATTTCTGTTGAGTGTGACGACCCAGATAAAAGCTCTGCAGTATTTTATTGGCTTCTAATGAAGTACCGTTGAACTCATGCTGTTTGTCTAACAGACTTCTTGCAAAATCAACTTCTTTGCCTGATGCATTAGCGACATTTCCTCTTTCTGGAGACTTTTGATCATGTGCCAGGCAACCGCGAAGTAGATCAAGTTTCACCGATGTTCATTTCTGAACATGCAAATACATAGGATGCAAAACAAACTTTGCAGGTTTTGTTCTTTAATAACCCAAATAAGCTTTTTTGTGATTCCTAAAGTTTGTTTATCTAAATGTTTATTCTATTGCTTGAATACCTGTTTGAGTAGATTTATGCTTGAGTGCGGGTTCATTTTCCCAAACTCCAGCTGGTAATCGAGCCTCGAGCAAAAACCGTTCGAAAGAAAGTTCAAAGGAAGTCTAAAGAATTCTTTATCTGTCAAGGCTAAGTAAAAGTTGTTAAGTTTATTGTATTCCATTAGTTCTTAAATATAATTTTTGGCGACTAGAATATTTGTTCTGGCAACCAAAAATGAAAACTTGGAGGCCAGCTGGCCCCAAGATTTTTTTCTGAAAGTCGAGCACTGTACAGGTGTCCAATTACAGCCTACTGCCCGATTGCAACCCTACACAATGATTAGTGAAAGAGAAAGCAGTTAATGCACCAATCAAATTGGAGAAAATTGTAATAGTTATGACAGCATTAATTGGACATGTAATAGGAAAGTACGTTTCATGCGTAAGTAATTGGACAGTCAGGGTTTTTGTTAAGATTTGAAGTAGGAGGGACAAATATGGCAATAGCAGGGACCAAAGATGGTGGCAGAGCTGCCATCTTGGCATGCAGTGCCCAGTGGGGGTAGGTGTGGGAGGGAGGATGCCCCCCTGCCACTGGGGGGGTCTGGGGCCTTCCCCAGAAAATTTTAGAATTTTTAAGGCCCCAGGGTGCATTTTGGGCCATTTCTGACCAATTTGGCTTTCTGTTTTAGCTCGTTTAAAGAAGGCATTTGCCGCTTAAAAACATAAATATAGGCTTTTAATTATTGCAATGGTGCAAAACAACGTGTATAAACTGTAACGTGGAAAATAATTCTTGTTGTTCCAGTTTAGTTTTAACAACAAGGAAGAGAATTATAAATATCTATAAGTACAGCCCGATAAAATAGCCGGGATGAAAATTTAAATAGCCGAGTAAAGGTCCTGGCGTCCCGGGTCTATCAAAAACCCTGACAGTACGTGCCATCGCACGCGCTGTATTGAATGAGCTCAAGGTAAGGCAAGGGAACTAAAAATTGGCAATAAAACTTCCTGCCCAATTGACAATTATCTGTAATTATACTTGTCAGGGGATTATAAAACAAACTGGACTCCTGACTCCCGCTATGCAGTCGTCTGATCTTTCATAAGATTAGATAGAGAGTTAGACTACGTTGACCCCTATTATGCTGGATTATAGACAGTCACACCACATTTGAAAGATCATGCAAGTAGAGAATGAGGACACTGGGACTATCAACCATTTTACAGTTGTGGGCTTTATAACCTAGCCTTTGAGTGAATGTGAGGCTGAGGTTGACCTCGTTTGGATATAAACCTCCTTTGTTTTCTTATGGAAATTGTGCTTGAAAAATACTAGTTAAAATAAGAACAACGTGATTTACACCAGAAAGCAGAAAGGGTTGTATCAAAACAAGGTCAACTTCAACTGCATTCCCATCTAATTGGAATTGAGAGACACAAGTGCAGGCAGTTCGAATGCGGGCTCGAACACAACGTTGCAGCAAAGAGCAAGTCACATATACGTCAGCTAACAGATTGAAGTGGAGTGAATATAGACAAAATAGTATGCATTTCTATCATTCTATCTCACCACATCATCTTTTTGCTTTAGAAAGTCTTCATCTTTTTGTATCAATTTCTAACTTTTTGGGTCTACTCCACTCCGTATACGCTTAAAAATCACCTTTTATATCCTTGTCAGTAAACATTTTGTAATAATTTATTTATATGCTTATGATAGTGAAAAAAGCCCTTTATATGTTAAGCAGTTAACCCCATTGGCACCCTGTTACAGTCCTTCCCAGAGCACAAATTTGGATCCTGGGGCAGTGATTGTGGCAATTTTTCTTCCTTGTCTCAACAGACTCAACAGACTTACGTGTAGCAAAAAGAGAGACTGCTGGTAGTGTAAGTGGATATTGTGTAATTTGGGCAACCCAGCAGAGCATCGGTCAACTTTATTGGTGGATACTTGGTCAACATATGGGTGGACACATTGGCCTACACTCGACATGTCGAGTTGTCTACAAGTTGACATGTCAGCTGACTATCAGTCAAAATGTCAGTCGACATCAGTTGGCCCAGTGTCAATATGTTGGCTGATATGTTGCCCAATAGTTGACCGACAGTTGGCTGACATGTCGACTGACATATCGGCTGATAGTGTTGGTCGGTCTGTTTACTGATAATTGGCCGACATCTCGATCAATAGACAACCAACATTCGGCCCATACTTTACTAATACTTCATGGATTCTTCGTTTGCAGTCAGCTTTCTTAAGCCAATAGTGTAGACTGATGCTCGGCCCAGGGGTGCCCAAATTACACAAGATGACCCATCTAAGTTTTACTGTAAGCAGGATTAGCTGTATCAGTATGCTTACCGGTATGTATGACTAAATGACCCAGAATTCCTCTGTAAATATAGTATGGGATTGTTATCATTTTCAGGGAAATGAAGTGAATTCCATGCATGGGGAACATCTTTCTAAATTGCTTGGGACTATTTCAGGCTGAGCCAACCAGCAAACGTAAATAAATGCTTGAAACTTCACAGCCAAGCTACAATGAGGGACAAAAGTGTTGACACACTTCCGTAAAATGGCCCCTTTTTGCATAGTGGATACACTTATCCCCTTTCCCTGTCTACCCCAACCCCTTCCCCCCAAAATCAATGTTGAATTTTGGACCCCCAAGTCTTTTTTTTAATTCAGACAACATTGATTCAGGGGGTGAGGGGATTTACGGTGTTTAAAACGAATGAAATTATAAATGAATTAAATGTTTGTTAAAAGCACCTGTTTTAAACAAGTGTGTCAACTACTTTTGTCCCTGATTGTCTGAAATATGTATCTGTGTTTTCCAGCTAGATTTTTGACGTTGCTGAACTTTTGTGCCATGACGTTACTCTATGGGCCAAATTGTTTGTTTATAAACAACAATTTGTAAAGTTTTGTCCTGATTTGTAGTATACGTAGAGTAAAATGTACGAAGCGTATGTCTTTACTTAATCTTGTACTCCCGCGCTCGTTCCTGATACCCTGTCGGGTCGAGAGGAAATCATTTGTGTTGTGATCAATGCCGTTGCTGCAGATGTAATGTTTTCACAAGTATTATCAGTAGTGGAAAAAGGATGGAAACACTAAGGTACAATGAAAATTGTTCTGGTAAATGGTTAACTTAAGCGAATGAAGTACTGCAGAATAATGGAGGGGACATGCATTATTTTTGACATTGACTTGTGCCATTAGTGAAAGGACGTGAACAATATACAGGTCATGAACCTCATAAATGATGGGCCAGCCGTTTGTGCTATGCCCTATATATAGATGTGTTTTTTTTTTTGGAGACCTATTTCAAACCTAACTGATCCAAACCTTTAGCGTAGGAAGGCGTCGAACAGGTTAGACCAGGTTAGGAATGTACTTTTGTAATGATTTTAGATGACCGCCTGCTATTTATTCAGTGGCATGATTTTTTATTGATGTTGGATGGACAACTATATCATTTCCCGGCTCGTAAATCACAGAATGCCAAAGAAATTGTTTTCAACACACCGGTTTGCATCATCGCCAAAACAGCAATTACTTTGGCCCAGAAGTTCACTTGATGACAAGGAAAGCGGAATTTAACACGTGATCGATGATGGCCGTGCGCTGGAAAATTTTCCTTTTTTATGCACTAATTCCTCACAAAAGGGAAAAGAAGATTCTGTTATGTAGAAAGTGCTTCGCAATACGTATTCTTGGCGAGAAAAATTGCAGCGATGTTGTGCAAATAAGGAGTTTCAACGGTTAACCATGAGAATACATATCGACATTAAGAGGTCATAACAGACTAATGTTACTTTCCGTTTGCCGAAACGTAGTTAACCGTTGTAACATGAAGGAAGCAGTGTTTTCCTCAGTTTGAACTGTCGTTTTCTTTGAGAGTCAAATACCAGTTCACGTTTCAAAGCTCTCTTTTCATTTTCTCTGCCGAAGATAGACAAAAACACAGGGTGTTGCTTGAGAAATGCAGTCCAAATACACAGACATATGCGCTCATGTCACGCTATTTGCGTTGCGTTATCATGTCACAAAGGGTGTCATGAGGTGGGATTGAAAGTAATTGTTTTCGTGTACACTTGCAATGTTTGCTACACTGTCCTTAGTTTTTTATTGAATTGGCCATGAATTTACCTTCACTTTTCCGTAGTTTTGATATTGAACGCCGTGATGGTTGCTCCTTACTAACGCTCCATATTTCTGTGGCAGACAGTGACTATCCCCACTACGTGTCAATCCTTACCCTACCCGTGATTGTTTGCGCCTTAACAACCGGATAAAGTGAAGAACAAGAAATATTCACTTTATTAAAAATATTTTCAGTACACATACCCTTGAAATTCATCAAAAGTTGTACATGTGCGCGAGTTTCAGCATCAGTTTTTAGCTTGTAAACCATATCGACGTTAATTCTGGATATCGCAGCCCTTTTATTACGTCATCACGTAATTCAAATTGGCCCTATAATTCGGTCATCAATAAGTCAATGTCACCCCCACCACCAATAACATAATTATGCCATTGATTCCTTTAATTCCAGTTAAAATCAGTGTCCCGCACGGCTCAACTTGTGCGCAGTAGCACAATTTTGCATTCAGACAATGAGGGACAAAAGTGTTGACTCACTTCCGTAAAATGGCCCCTTTTTGCATAGTGGATATACTTATCCCCTTTCCCTGTCTACCCCAACCCCTTCCCCCCAAAATCAATGTTGAATTTTGGACCCTCAAGTCTTTTTTTTAATTCAGACAACATTGATTCGGGGGGTGAGGGGATTTACGGTGTTCAAAAAGAATGAAATAATAAATGAATTAAATGTTTGTTAAAAGCACCCGTTTTAAACAAGTGTGTCAACTACTTTTGTCCCTGATTGTAGCTAGGTTGTAAAGGTGTACCCAAGGTATACTGAGGTGGAACAAGAGGTCACATATATCAACATAATTACCCAATTTATATGACAATTCCAGTGTTACTGGAGTCAACAAGATTAATATAGTACTTGCAGAAAGTCTCACTAAAAATACTTTTCTTTAATGACATGGGGGATTCTTGCTTCCTGTGTGGTTATTTTCTCAATCTGATGCAAGTTTTAGAACTGGACACTTGAGAGTGAAAGAAATTGCTAAAACCGCATGAGATCCAGGAAATAACCTCACATGAAGGAAATAACTTGTAAATAAAGTAAGGCATTTTTGTTGAGAGTTTCTTCTAGTATTTATGGCATCTGCTTGAATTCATTACTGAAATTTCAGTACAAATGACTTTCCCCGTTTTGAGATTTTTTAATATTGCATCACACATGTAAGACTTGCTGTGTATGAAAAATGTCTTCACAAGTCAAAAAAATTATAGCAGACATCTTGGTGATGTTATTCTAAAGTAATTTCCTATGTGCACCATTACTTACTCCTTGAAATGTCTGAGTCCAGTTATTGTCATATTATTATTATTATTCTTTTTAACTTGTTTTTTGATATCAGAAGTGAATAATGTTTTTGTCATGATTTGATTGAAAACACTGAACTGTGTGCAAGTCAGATATTTTGCTACCAATTGTATCTAAGCCACAAGGAGTGTATAATGTGGGAAAATGTGATTGCCACTGAATTTTTATGATTTATGCTATAGTTGTTAATTTTCTATATAATTTGCTTCATTCTAATTTAAAAAAATTCTGTAAATTAAGCACTTATTTTTAAAAGTAAAAAAATCACGTTAATGATTATTATTATAAAAAATTATTAGTACTGGTATTTAGTGTGCAAAGAAAGTATTGTCCGATAGCCCGGGGCTAGTCGACTCTGCTATCGGGCTGGTGAATTCTGTTTTTAACTTGCCCGACGGGCAAGTGAAGTATTTTGAGGAATTTGAATAACAGAATGAAATCAATTGTGCTCGTCAAAAAGTTTTTGGGGCTAGTTGAAATGACGACTGGGCTAGTAAATGCTAGCTTCAGCTTGCCCGAATGGCAAGCTTCAAAAATGATTTTCTTTGCACCCTGGGTATGACTATTATTTGTATTTGTCATTATTCATGCAAAGGGTGCAGTGTGCGTGGCCCAGGATCCATTTCTAAAATCTGGAGTAATCTTCAGATAACTAGATATGTAGAATCAACTCACTTATTTGTGGCCCTTTTTCAGCAGCTCTTTCAAGAGTGTCTTCCTCACTTTTGAGTTTATCACACATATTCTTCTTTTCTTTTTACTTATTACGTGTAATATCTGATTTGTACTAGAATTAATTTGGCACACCATGACTAGCGTTTTTGGCTAACTGCGTGCCAAGAAATTGTACAAGCAATATTATAATAATAAATGTCTTGTCTTGATATAAATTCCCTGCATTACATACTTTGCAGGTTGTGAAGAACAAAAGGAAACTGGTTCAGGTATAGGAGTGGTATAAAAAGTGAAAATCAATGTGGTAAGTTGTATCTGTAAGTAACGTACTTATTACTCTGCAAGTAACAGTCAAGGTCATTTCAAATGAAGAAGTGAAAAGGCTTAATCGTGGTTTGCAAGGACCGTACATGCAGAAAATAGAGGCAGGGCCCTTATTTAAATTGTCCCAGACAAATAGTTTTATATTTCAGAAATATTCTTTAAACTGATCGGTGCAATAAAAAGGTCTAAGAATGATTAAAGCCTGAAGAAATTCTTAGAAGTAACACATTTTACAAACTCATTTAGTTAAAACTTTATAGTTATTTATACAACTCTTGAAAAACGTGTCACAGAACTGACAGAAGTAGGTATGTCATAGGTGACGAAATCAATATGATCTTTTTTTAGCAAACTATCATCTTGAGTGCTTTAAAGGTATCATTTTATTTGTGTAAATAAAAATAAAATCATGTTTCAAACAACCAACCAATCAGTTAAGCATTCAATCAATTAGGAAATAAATTATGTATTTTTCTTTTCCTTTAATTAAAAAGATGGATTAGAATGGCAGCTGCAGGACCATCACCCCTGGCCAGCTCTGAAGAGAAGACAAATGGATCCAAGCTGAGCAGGCTTCTTATCGATGGTGGAACAACAGTTCTAAGAAATGTTTTCAATCATCATCACCCTCCAGCTAATTTAGCTGCTGATCTCAATGCCAATTATTCCACTCTCAACAACCTCTTGCGGCGAAGAGTTCTAAATGGTCATCAGTGGAATAAACTGTTCCCGCCTGGGGGAACCATGCCAGACTCCAATAAGTTTGACATCACTCTTTTATTTCTTCTTCTGACCAACATTTGTGGATTGTCCCCTCCCCACAAAGGATGGCACACTAAACCACCCGCTAGTGACAACTCTGACGAGGCGAATCTTGCTCGTGTCAAGCATTTCCGTAACGTGTTGTATGGTCATGTGACCAGTACTGGTGTTGATACTCATTCCTTTTCTGTTCTGTGGCAGGAAATCAGCCCTGTTCTTGTGGCTCTTGGGTTACAGCAATCAGAAATTGACAGACTCAAAGCAGAGCGAGGTGGAGAGGAAGATTATCTTAAAGCGTTACGTGATTGGGCTGACAGTGAAGAGGACATCAAAACACAGTTAAAGGACGTGTGTCAAGCTCAGAAAGAAATAAAACAGACTCTTCTGGAGACCCATGAAACTTGCCAGGAAAGCAAGACCAAGCTGGATGGTGTACATCAAGTTGTTACAGAAATTCGTCAGTCCCAACTCAACTCAAACCGCTCGGTCGAAATCTTGAAGAAGCTTGCCAAAGTAGACACGCAAAGTAGCATAGAGTATTACTCAGAAAGATATTTAGAGGGAACCCGTGCGTCGGTTTTTGCCAGAGTAACTAATTGGCTGGATGACAGAAGCTCACGCAACCGTGTGCTAGTAATCAGTGGAAATGCAGGAATGGGAAAATCAGTGATTGCTGGAGAGATGTGCAAAAGAATACAGGAAAGTAAAAGGTTGTCAGGAAGCCATTTTTGTCAACATGACAAGGCACGCCACAGAAATCCCAAGGTGATACTGCAGTCATTGGCTTCCCACATGTCATGTTATCTGCCAGAATACAGGAAAGCGCTTGTGGAACAACTTTCTAGAAATCTCGGCTTGGAAATGAATGACATGGAAGTGGGAGATTTGTTCGAATTGCTTTTCGAAGAACCGCTGCGCAAAGTACATGACCCTGGTGTCACTTCTCTCATTGTAATCGACGCCTTAGATGAAAGTGAATACCAAGGGCGAAATGAGTTACTAGAAGTGATAAGCAACTACTTTAACAAGCTTCCACTTTGGATCCGGTTCCTCGTAACAACGCGACCAGAAATGAACATTTGGGAAAGACTAAGCTGTTTATCACCTCTTGTGCTAGAATCCAACGACAAGGAAAACTTACTGGATATTCGCATTTTGATGGAGCACCAGCTAAGGCATCTGTTGCCACCCAGAAATCTGAAAGTGATCTTGGAAAAACTAGTTGGAATGTCAGAAGGTGTCATACTATGCGCTCGCTTTTTGATAGATTTCGTGAAGGAGAGCGGGCAAACTCTCACATTGGAATACCTCGAGAGCGCTATACCGTCAGGTATTTCATCTGTTTATCAGTCCTATTTCAAGCGTCTCGAGACTGTTCTAAGTAAAGAATTGAAGATAACCGAAGATCAGTTTTTTAGTTTCCTAAGTGCCATAGCAGCCGCAAAAGAACCACTGCCTATCGAATTTGTCTCCAAACTTTTATTCCCTGGCATATTACTCTCGTCTGCTCAGCGAAAGACGAACAAGGCAGTTTCTTGTATATCGTCACTTTTACCTGTTCAAGATGGCTGCGTGCAGTTTTTTCACAAGTCGGTGAAGGACTGGCTCGTTGACAAGTCATCCTACGGAAATCACAGTTTCAGTGTGAACAAGGACGAAGGCTATCGCATCCTTGCTGAACTTTGCATGGGAGAGTTCGATGAAGTGAAAAGAAAAGGTGTTAATGACTCAGAGCCCTTCAGTGACACAGCTAGGTACGCGCTTCAGCATGGTGTTAAACATATGTTAGAAATGGCCGATGATGAGAGGACAAAATCATGCAGTCTTGAGAATCTGGTGAATATGTATGTCCTGGACGTTGAGCTTGTGTATGCAAAGCTGCGCGTAAACAGTGCAATACCCTCTGAAGATATCGTTTGTGTCATGGAGCAAAATGAATTGAAGAAATTGAAATCCCTCGAGACGTTATTATCTCTGTTAAGAAAGCATAGCAGATCACTTAAAAACCTTCCAAAGTGCATTTTTCAAACACTATTAAATGAAGGCGGACCAGAGCTCTCTTTTGAGGCTTCGAAACTTTTGGTGACTAAGTATTCTGACATATCATACATGGAATACTTAAACAAGAACGATCTCCACGGAGCTTGTTTATCCACATTTTCTTGTTCATCTCAAGTGGCTTGTTTTGATGTTTCACATCGCTTAGGACTCATGGTTTGTGAATGTCTGGACGGCATGATTCATCTCTGGTCACTCCATACTGGCAACTTAATATGGAAGTGTCCTGTAGTATTTGTGAAAAATTACGGCTACTCTTCCGAGGCTTTAAGATGGTGGCCATCTTTGCAGTCACCATATTTTTCTTGCTCAAATTTGTCTGACTACAGTGCAGTATCCTTATCTTGTTTTCGTTCTGTTGTTTTTCATCCTTCTAAGGATGTCATCTTACCAGGAGTACTTTGCTATGCATACAATTTTGAAGGTGACCTGAATCCTCTTTTTCCTGAAAGCAAGTGTATTTTCACTGCTTGTTCTATTTCTGGCAATACAATTATCACTGACTGTCCTCCAGATGCGAAATGCCTCACCTTATGGAGTTTGGAGAATGGATCGGAGATGGGTCGTGTCGTCAGAAACGAAGATATTTTGTCTTTTGCGAGGTCTCAAGATGGAAAGCTGCTTGCAATTTCCCATTCAACGGGCTTAGTTTGTTTGCTAGATGTAATGAATGGTTTTCAAATGCTAGCCGAAACGTTCACCTCGTACGTTTGTGGTATCATGAAGTTTGCACCCGACTGTCGATCACTTTTCTGTTGGCATTTTCCACCAAGTACCGTTTTACATCACCTTTTCTGTGTAAAAGTCAATGTAGGAAACGATGGCAACTTTTCCCTTGATGTTTCTCGTGACACTGTTTCTTATAGGCCTTGGGAACATGAGTCTTGTAGCGAAAGTGGTTTTACATTGGGAGACTCTCTAGATTGTGTGGTTGGAAGTGCGTCTGATGGCATACGCGTCATTAACTATTCATTTGTGTTTATGCTGAATAAAGATTTCGTTTTAAGAAGTAATCCTCGAAGCCATTTTGTTAACATGTTGTCCGTAGATGAGCTCTCTAGAGGCGGTGATGCTGGTAAAATTGTTGAGAACCTGGTATTTTCTCCTGATGGCGAGACCCTTTATATTATGGACAGCGAAAGTGATGGCACGCGGATTTCAGCTTGGGACGTTTCAAGTGGGGTATTCAAAGCAGATACAAAGATTCTTAGTAACATTTCAAGAGGATGTTGTGTCGTACCTGTTGACGTTGGTATCCTGTTAACAACAAGAAATGGTAGTGTGGAGTTGTGGAATTGTTATTTTTCGGAGTGCTTAAGACGCTGGGATGACGTAAAGGGAATGCACGTGACAAAACTGATTCCAGTTTCAGATAAGCACGTGGTATGTACAGGACATACATGCGATGGAGTTTGTATTATTCTGGATATCACAAATGGAGAAAAAGAAGAAATTAAAGCAAAAAGGAATCGTTACGGTTTTTGGGGCTCAGTTCTTGCATGTAGCAGCAAACGTCAGCTTATAACCATAGATGGCCGTCTCTTAAGCTCAGGTTTTTCCGTCTCTTGGGAGAAAAAGTGGTCTCGCAGTAATACTCAAGCAGAATTCAACCTTCCAGCGCTGTTTTCTCCTTCGGAAGAGTTTCTCGTTATTTCCGAAGAAGTTGCAGGTCATCAGCAAGGTGTCTTCGTTCGTAGTCTTTTCGATCATCCACAAGGCGTCTACGTCCTTGATGCATCGTCAGGAAACACGCTTCGAGAACTATGTGTAGTAGAACGAGTCTATGATTGCAAATTTTTAAGCGACGAGGAATGTGTTTTGCATACTTACGACCGGTTAAATGGTTTCGGTCTTCTACTGTACAACATCAGGTCAGGAAATCTGTTAAGTGTAATTGACATTGACCTGTATAATCAAGTGTATTGTTTGGCAAGTCACCCTTGGAAATGTCTCATCGCTATTGGCCTCAAGCATTCCAGACATAAGTTCAAAGTTATCCAGGTGAAGCTGCGAAGCCAAAATAAGGACGAAAGGAAGAGCAACAGGTCAGTCCTAAACTAATGATAGTGGTATTCGTAAAAACAACTGATTTTTTGTGCCATGTAAAGGACTGCTAGCAAGGACGTAGGTGGAGAATTTTGAAAAGCAGTGTTGCAAACGCACACGGCCTTTTCCGTTTTATGACGGCCTTTTCCGTTTTCAATGTAAGAAACCGTGACATTCACCGCCACAAAACTAGAAATAATAATGACCTTATTTTGGAAAAAATTAATTTAGAATGCACCAAGCGCGCTTTTTTCTACAAAGGTGCGAAAATTTTTAATAATTTTTAATAATTCTAAGAATTTATAACTGTTCGATCTTTCGTTTGGTGTGACTATTTTGTAATATTGTGATTTGATTTTTATCTATATTTTAAATCTTTTTTATTTTTATTTTTTCATTTTTAATTTTTTACAGGACCTGCATTGATAGCAGTTTTTTTCTTAAAACTGAAGCAGCAATCCTGCATAAATATGTTTAAATTATTATTATTATTATAAAATCTCGGACCCCCCGGGGTATTACCTAGTAATTAACAATTATTCCTCGAGCCCGAATGGGCTCTGAGTCAAGGCCTCATGGGCTATTGAATCAGAACCCGCTATTCGGACGAGAGGACTGAATAATTGTTTTAGTAAAATCCAACAAGTTGGTCTAAAATATCGAGACGAAACAACTTTAGCTAGTTAAAGCTAGACTGTAATCTTTTTTGCCGCCAAAAAGCCGGGGTTTTCGCTACTAGTGGGCTATAACATAGCCTAGTAGTAGCTCAACCAATGAGAACGCAGCATTGATAATAGACCACTAGTTGGATTTTACTAAATAGAAACTAACCCTGTTCCTTAGGCTATGTTAACACTACACCGGATAGCTATTTGTCACGATACGAGAAAGAAAAAGCTATCTGGTATTGTATGAACACCTATGCGATCGATATGTGCCCCTTTACTTTAGAGATCGGCGCCGCGCAGCTTCGCTCCGTTACAGAAATCGCGCCAAAATCACTGTTGTTATGTGTGAACAGAAGCCCTATCCGATATGGTTATCCGTGTAGGTGCAAGAGGTATCCGGTATGGTGTGAATACCATGATAGTCTTTAGTCACAGAAGAATGTCTGTCAGTTAACAAAATCTGTCTGGTGCATTTTTATTCTTAAATGTACAATGATGTCTATAAACGGATTACCATTTTGTACACATTATGCTGGTCAGCACACACCTAATTCATCAAAACTGGAATCGAAGAACCGTAAGATCTAATCGTTAATCTTATTGTCCTCGGTTTCCTTTAACACCATGTCTTGTTCTTCAGGCTGTCATTTCTACGATCACATAAAATAAACATGTTATTGCCGATGTTCCGGAGATTTCTTGAAACCAATTTCAATATTATGACCAGGGGCTCACCCCCTGAAAGTATAACCGACTCCTTTGGGCGAAATCTTAGTCAACCACTCCCACTCTACTCAATGACTATTCTTTAAATTAATCCATCTAATCTGTAGGTTCCCTTTCACTCCCATGTGAGCTCCAGATGATAATTTTAGTAGCAAAGAAACGCTACCCTTTCCACCCGCATCACATCCCTCTTTCTTCTTTGCCATTTTTACGACGTATCGCCACCTTTTTGTTTTTCAACATACAGTCGAACCTCTCTACAACGGCCACCTTGGGAACAGAGGAGATAGCCGTTGTAGAGACGTGTTCACAAGAATCAATGTTTGGATTTTTTGTCCGCCGGGACGAAAAAAAGTGGCTGGCCGTTGTAGAGAGGTGGCCGTTAGCGGAGGTTGGACTGTATTAGTAACTGGGTTTCCCGGTGTTGTTATCTTATCATTTAACCGAATCGTTGGTGGCAAAGCGTTCATCAAGAAAGTCAGTTTTATAGGCAAGCTGTAGCTTACATGTACTAGCCCAAGGGTTTGTTGCTTGTGATCCTAATTATGATTGACGGCAGCGAAAAATGCAATTGTGAAGGCGGCTTCTAAACTTCAGAGTTCGAAGCCAAGTGTTTTTGAAAAGCGCACTAAGAACAGAATTCAATACTAGCGCGATAGCAAAATTCACCAGCCGCTGGCCATCGGACACTAGTTTCTTGCACGCTTGGTAATGGTATCCGTTCTCTCTTTTGCTTACTTTTTAGGAGCAAGATCAGCTTCAGAAATGAAAAGTAGACTCCAGTTGTTCCTACGGATCCCCTGGATCAATCGATTACCTTGCAGCACAATACAATAACTATAGTTTGTTTGATGGTCACATACCCTATGTAAATATTTGATATTCAAATATTTTATAACAATTTTAGTTAGGTATTTGCATTTAAACGGATTAGAAGTAGATAAAAAATGATCTCGGATGAAAGGGATTTTATGGAAAACGTAAAACGTTTAAATACAGTGTTCCCAAGAGTAGGGAGACGTAACCTGCATGGAGAAGTCTCATACTGCATTTGCTTTGCTATTAGAGAAAATTAGTGTCGTACGACTGGTAGTATGACCAGTGGTAGTAGACACAGGCAGTCTAACGGACGCAACCGTATGGTGAGACACGCGCGACGAGTGGCTATAATAATCGAATTTGCAAATTATTACAGTCAAGTCAAGTCAAGTCATAGGCAGGGTAGCCCTATCAGCCACTACCTGTTATCAAAAGGGGCCCTGCGTAAATTATGCCTACATGATAAAAATTTAAATATTATAAATTACTTAAAAATTACGTACAAGGACTTTAAAAAGTGAGCAAAAAGGAAATTACACATCTTCATAGCAATCACAATTTGTTGAAGATAAACACGAATAAGTGAGCTACCGTAAGTTACCTTGGGATATTAATAAGAAAAACTAAAGACTAAAATGAAGTCTAAGAATATTCTTAAAAATAGAAAGCGATGTAGTTTCGTTTATTGATGTGGCACCTGAAAATCTTAATGTTTTTCTTAGAGTTCGGTAGATTAATGTCGAATTTCTAGTTAATTATAGTGCCACCTATTATTTTTCAAGCGATCAACAGTTTACCGTTTCGAAGTTGAATCGACGTTTCTTGACCAGAGGAAACATTCTTTGACAGACTGTTATTTTCTTGATCTTAAGATGATCGTTCTCCCAACCCCCTGCTTGTTAAATCAATAATGTACCTTTCACTTCCTTCAAAGAGAAACAAAATTTTAGTTTTAAAGCCTTAGTGAAAAAACAGCCCCAGATGTGAAATTGCGTCAATTATTGCGTAATCAAAGCTCGTTTACGCCAATGGGTTACCTGCGCTGTACTCTGGTTCACAGTGTACATTCAAGGAGTTCACATGGCACAAAATTGTTAGTTTTCTTTGTTTTTAAAGTTGACTATGTGTAGAGGACATTTTTATTTGCTAATTAGTTACTTCATGGCCTTCTGAGAAGGCAGTTTTATCAAAAACGTCACTAGGGAAACTAGTAAAGAACTAGTTAATTTAGATTTTTTCTTATGCGTTTTTAACTTATTCTTTCGCTTTTTAGTTTTTAAAATTAATTCAGTGGGATGCAGGAGGGTGTCGCCTTGAGCATTCACGGATTTATTATTATTTTTTGTTTTCATACATTTACATGTATGACGCTTTAAATTATCTTTTTCCTGAATTGTATTGTATTATTATTAACTTAGTGTTTTTATTGTCATACGTTTCATACATGGGCCTCTGGCTCAGATGGTCGGGGCACCCCATCCCACGTATTGACATAAATGAATTCAGAATTGATTGGCTCATTGATTGATTTATTAAAATAACCAGAAAAGAAGAGCCTGGAAACTTAATCCTAGAACCACGACAGGCGACAATGACGTTAACTTAAGGAGGCTGGATGGGGTTTTTCAGGGTCAATACCTCCTAAGTTTGAGCGTAAACTACGTCGCCATTAACAAAGACATGGAAAAATTCCCCTACAGCTTCATTAGATAAAGATAAAAAGTTGTCATGATCAGAGTTGCAACATCGGAGTTGTCATAGCAACGAAATGACGCCATTACCTATTTTACTTGCAGTCGGGTTTCTCGGCACTGGAACTTTTCTTCCAAAATCGTTCACGGGAGCTTTTTCGTCCAATAGACTCGATGTTGGTGAAATTTAATCGAATGCAGAGCGTTAGGGACCGGTCATTATTTATGTGGGGGGGAATCAGGGGTGGGCCAGGCCTATTTTTTTTTAGAGAAAAGGGGTGGGCCCAAAAGAGAATTTCACGATGATTGGGGGTGGGTTATTGTGTGTATTGTAAAGAATCACACTCACTACAATTCATGTGGAAGATCTAAATAAATTCTAATGCAATGCTGGACATAAAATGTAACACAACTGGATGTCACATGTAGCAATCCAACTTAAGTGTCAATGAGATCCGTAAGCAAGAGCGAAGAAAAGAAAAGCAAGTTCGATCCTTAAAAGATGTACATTGCTATGACTGGAAAACACTTGTAGAGAAGGGGGAGCTTGACACTCTGAAAGTCCCCGAGTTGGACAAATACATTGAGCATAATAAACTTAGCAAGAACGGAAAGAAAATCGACAAAATCAAGCGAATCACAGTACACTATTATGAAACTTCAAAGGAATCTACATTTCCTTCAAGCGTCAGTGTTGGTGAGGACAGTGATGAGAGTGACAGTGACAATGACCTTGTTTTGTGTGATGAAAGTGAAAGCGAAAGTGAATCAGATGATGACAGTCGTACTGTAACAATACAAGAAGGCACATCAAGAAGAAGTGGCCGCAGAGTAGGACACTGGTCCACAAGATATGCTGATTTCGTTCAGTGAACAGGAATTCCTTATAGAGGTATAGATTGAAGGGGGTTGGGGATGGGTCACCTCTTATATAAAGTTATATGGGGGTGGGTCAAGAATGAACTAATGGTCTTAAAGGGGTGGGTCACGTTTTTTCTTTCATGCTAAAACAAAAAAAAAAAAAATCCCCCCCAACCCACCCCCCCACGTAAATAATGACCGGTCCCTTATTGAGATATTTTCAATGAAGTTATTATATGGATGAAAATAAATGGAAATACATAAAATGACACGTATTTTGAACTGCGGATAAAGATATAAAAGTTGTTGTAGATATGAAGTTATTTTAGTTAGAATTACGTTAAAAACTGGACAATCTTGATGCGTCCGTGGTCTACAAGTCTCTAATTTTACTTGCAAACAAGAGAAAGTCATGTCATTTTACCCTCTCACGTAACTTGGACGCTTGTTTCTATTGTAAGAGTGTTACGCCATGAAAACACTAAATTAGTACGCGGGAAGTATGAGGGAAGACACTTTTTAATAATATTATGTTTATCTATACCAACTTAAGGAGTAAAATGATAAAGTACCATTGCTTTTAACACCGACTGCAATCCTGGATATAAAGTGACCTTACGTCAGTCGAGGCTACTGGTGGAAAAGTAAGGTGTAAGTATTCGTGTCATGGTGGGAATTCTTGCAGTGATTTTAGCCGCTTCTTCAGCCGAAAAGAAAACCTAAAAATAACACTTAATCAGACAGGAATGACCCGGATTCAATGTGCTCTATGGCGAACGGATACCTTATTCTTTCAACCTGCCCCTGGCACTAACCAGACACCCCGTACCTCTATCACCGTTTCGAAGAAGCCCGATATTTGAGTGTAACAATATTGGAATGACCGTACCATCTAGAGGCTGACTTTGTCAAGAAGGGAATCAGTCTTAGACCCTCTTAGAGCTGAACAAAAGAAAAAGCTAACAGCTAAGAAAGGAGGACATCGTGCCGGCACTATTCCAACTTCTCTACTGCAGTGTAATATCGAAAACGAAGGGCTAAGGAAGTTGCAAAATAAGTTTGCTAGAACGTGGCCTCGTTAAGTGCTATAAATGTTACGACTGGGGCAAAAAACATCGTTCGTTATACCAAGAGCCCCGTTAGATGAAGGTTCGCTATATCCAGGCTCCACTCTGCTCGACTGATTTTGCCTTGATCGACCACTAAGTCCATTCCCAGTCAAAGTTTTAGTTTTTTAAGTGCCAAAGTTGAAAGCTAGAGGAGGAATCAGTATAAGGTCCTAGCTAACTGTTCTCCTTCTCCTCCCCTAACCCCAGATTTGCCAGTAATAAGAAGTTAGTGCTAACGTTGGGTTGGAGGAGAGGGGTAGGTGGGTAGTTTTCCGGCATCTTAGTCTAATCCGTGGAACACATCTGTTTTTTTAGTACTTGGCAAAGTCAGATATAAAAACCTGGAAATTGCAGCCTCGTCATACTAGCAACTAACCAACAACATTGTCTTTATTCAAATGATAATATAAAACAACTCAGAAGCGAGAGTGATAATATTGAGAGATAAAATAAAAAATATCATGGGTGACGAATTACTCCTTAATTTTACAAAATTGTCATTGCAACCTTGCGTACGTCTCAGTAGCAAGATGGCAACGCAATTTTAACACTTTATGAATGAAGATGTTGGGGAATTAAAAGACGCTTTAGGAAACCTAAACACCCGAAAGAGCACATCAAGAGAGATTCTAACAGGTATTTTGTCGAAAACTTCTGAACTTAAGCCAAACTCAAGCTCCAAACTTTTTCGAGGGTGGAGTTCTCGATCGATAAATAAAACAAGGATAAACATGTCAAAAATCTACGATTATGAACGTAATGTATCGGTCAATTCCAGCTGCGCCCAGCAGCGCAAAATTTGCTAATACCCCACCCCCGGGCAAATGCCAAATGCCCTCCCCCGGGGGGGGGCTGGGCGCAGCTGGAATTGACTGTTGCACTATTTTTCACCCATAATATAATGGTATACTCGTGAAATTATTCCCTAATTTCACTCGTCACCATTTGATTACCCATACAAAATATAAACTAAACGAAATTATTCCAATTCCACAGATTTAAAAAAGACGGCTAAAAATGAGCTTAAAATGGTTTCTTCTTAAATCTAACCAAAATCTAGCCATAAAAATTATATTTAACACTTCTAAAGCAGACGTTTTTTGTGTTGTTTACATCTAAGCTTGGCGTTTGACATTTTCAGCTGAAAAAAAAAAAACACCTGGCATCCAGGGTGGTAATTAAAGGGATCAGAAATCAAACTCTTCCATCAGCGCTTGGAGTCACTAGAATTCCATATACATCTGAATATCAGCAGGAAGTCTAGTTCTAACTGTTCAGTATATGCCTAAACAAGCGCTTCCTAGACGAGTAAATGCTACTTATTCTGAAATAAAGTCAATCGAACGCGCCCTAAGATTCCCGACATCTACAAAGAGTGTCGCTTACGGTCGGTTCACGAATACCACTGGCGTCCGCATCACTTTAAACGTTTTCTTAAAAACGCTTCAATTCTTTCTTTCAAAAACTGGTTCGATTGCACTACAAACGGGTAATCTAGTAACTCTAAATGAGCGGGAATAATAAACTACTCATATACCGCCAAACCACAACTTGTCCTTAGCGCTTTAAAAAACTAGTTAAATACCAATAGTTATAAGACTACTAAATTACAAAATTTTCAAAACTATTTTAAATTCGGGCCGGCTAAAGGGAAAGCAGCATCACCGAATGTCTTGGTATTAAAGGTGCTCTAAATGAGCGGGAGTAGCTTTTATTATTCATTCAAAATATTTCTCCGTTCTCGAAAGACCCGGAAACCTTTTGGGCCCGAAGGCAAATTTTTAAAATCAAAACCTGTTGAGTAGTGGCACAGTTCCTAGCCCACAAACCATTCAGTTTTATTTCGTTAGCCGATAGTTTCATTGTATTATTTTCAAAATTTTGAAACTTTGGTCTTGAATGAAAACACAACAAATACAAAACAGTTTTCCGGGTCCGAAAAGTTACTGGGACTTTCGAGAAACAGGCTCCTGATTGGCTAAAATCCCACGCATAATTTCATAACCAGCCACTGTCGACCAAATGTGGAAGAATTTTGCGATATGTGAACTGATGACGTCAATCGTACAGCAAAATTGCTAGATTATTGAAGACCTTAGGACGAGGTTGAGTTGTTTGGGTAGTTTTAAAAATACAAAATAGCGGAACATTTCACTCTTTCACGAGGAAAAAATAGGCGAACTCCTGGCGAAAAACATGGCAAGAACAGCAAGAAGACAAAAAAAAAAAGAAAACACTATCTGCTATTCTGAGAATATTTGCAGCGAACAACCCCTAAACTTGCCCATAAACATGCACTATCGAAGATGAACTTAACATCGACGGAGGTAAGCATGTTTTAGCTTGTTTTTAAACTATGAATTATTTTGGATGAATAATAAAACAATGATTGAAATCGGCTTTCGTATCATCTGAAGAATTATGGAGATCTCAGAGCGTGTTATCTGCCCAGGCCGCAACACCTTCCTCGATTCGATAATTGCTAATTATAGCTCAACAAAAATGTTAATTGAAAAATAAATTATGAAGAAAAGTGCCGGGTTTAAGCTAGAGTTCTTTTCCAGCGACACGGCACTTTTGTTCATAATTCATTTTTTAATGAACATTTTCGTTACTACTATTTTCTAAAGTGCTGTAGATATAATTAGTTACCTGTAATAACACCAAAGACTATTTCTCATGTGAGCCCGAGAAACTAAATGTCAAATTTCACAAGAATTGTGAAAAACCAGGTAAAATTCTGAAAATTTCATGAGTAAGATGTCATTTTGTTAAATTTGACATTTATTTTCTCGGGCTCTCATAAGAAATTTTCTTTGGTGTTATTACAGATAACTAATTACATTTATAGCTCTTTAAAAAATGTAAAAAAATGCGATATTGTTTAAATTATTCTGGTACAAGGTTTTTGTCCACTGAAAATTAAAATGACTCAATTTCCTGGTGGATTCCGTGTTAATGTACTTCTTAAATGAACTGGGAAGATTTGCATAACTAATATGTTCATTTAGAGAAAGAGGCATGCGTCAAAGATGACACCCAGGTTCTTTGCAGATGAAGCCGGCTGTATTTGCTCCTCTAAAACGTCCACATAGTCCTCGTGGCCTAGCATGAACTTGATGCTGAAAACAAGGAAATCTGATTTAGTTTTAGGCCATTGTGAACCATCCACGCGTTAATGTCCTTGACGCTCAGCTCAACTTTTCATTGAGCCACATTGAGCTCTGGATTCCAATCAGCCCTAAATATAAAGCTGGGAGTAATCGGTATACAGAAGGTATTAGACACCATGGTACTGGATAATCTAGGCAATGGTTGATGCGTACAAAAAATAAAGGAGGGGTCCTAAAACGGATTGTCGAAGAACACCATGATCTAAACTGCGAGAAAATTATTTTTATAAGTGAAAGTGCATAGTATTCAAAGTTTCTTTGGCCATACCCTTTGTACTGAGATTCCAAAAGAGGTACGAAAATGGTCACTTGACTTGAGCTTGTCGAACTCGGAACTTGCCTAGGGAAAAAAACAAAAACAGTACATGGTTTTCGATCCGTTTAATTCAAAAGCGCAAAAAAATCCGGGCTAGAAAAACATGTCAGTTTTGTTCTGTGCTTCTCTCTGCATGTTTATAGAGGCCCAGACCTTACCTCTCTTCTTTTAAAAACTTTTCTGTGTGTGTCTCTGCTATGTTTGAAAATACTTTTCATACGTTTCCCCTTGATCCAACAAGGTTTATGCTTTTGTCTGTTTTTATAATTGAGTGGAAATTGTAACCAAAAGTTTATAAGAAAAACTAAGTTATTCGCATTGCACTTGCCGAAAAACGGCACCTCAGTCTGTTGTAACACGATTATACTCTCACTGTGTTGTCGGTAATTGACAAGAAAGTCAAGAGGGCACACAAATCGGAAATCAGTTCTTATAGCCTCGCCCATAAGTTCTGCCAAGAATGCCTAAACAACTTGAAACTCCTTTGAGACCAAAATTTATATTGTAATCTGGAGACAACAACAATCAACTTAACTCGAAAAACTTGGTTCAGAATTTATGCACGACGTAACTTTTGCTGCTCTCTAAGTGCTCCGTAACTTGTCATTAGTTCTTAGTTGCTCAAGGTCACGGTCTTACATGTACTGTGTGAACGTTTCCATCTTTGGCGTAATTGTGCATACAACGGATGCGATAGCAGCCTTTGCGATGAAAAATAAAGAAACAAATCCTTTTTGGTGTATTGTTCTTGGCGTACGACGTTAAAAGGTTCCAAAGTTAAACTAATTAAAACAAAAACGCAATGATAACAAGTTCAAAAACGTCATTCAAATCGACAGCTGACCTTTGATCATCCTTTTTTCTTCGTTATCACCAGATAGCCTTAACAGGATAACTCTGAAATTGTGGTTAGTGTTCTTTTCACAAATGGCAATAAGACCATTCCAAGGAGAAATTGTCAAAGCGGTCAACTGACTCTCAATATTCAACACACTTAATTGCTGCCCAGATCTAACGTTGAACAGTCGGAGACATGTAACACTTGGTGGCTCTGAGGTTTGAACAACACATTCGTCGTTACTGACAAAAACACTTCGGTCAACTTCCCCTTTCCATAACATCTGAAGTGTACTTCCTGAATAAGCATCCAGTAAATAAACACCATGCCCTTGCTCCACCCCAGAAATTACGAAAAACTGGTCGTCGGGAGAAAACGAAAATCTTTCACAATTGAAGTTACGGTATCCAGAACGAGGCCAGTATTTTTTCCAAATAACTGTTTTGCCTTGTAACAAGACAATTGTCTGAGGGTGGCTATCCAAGGTGGCCAAAAACTGATATTTACTGTTGCATGCAGTAAACGTTCCAGGTAAACACATTGCCGACTGTTCGTAACCACTTGAAGTATCAAATATTTTCACCTCGTGTAATGACGGCGAAATTAAACACACAAGTTCCTCTGAAACGGGAAATACTGTTTGGAATTGCCCGAGGCAACTCCAACGTTCAATGCACTTTGACAACTGAAAATTCCACAGCTCTAGAGTACATCGTTCTTTTAAACATAGTACAAGTAAAACACCTTTATTTACCGGCAAATACCGGAAAATCTCAACTCTGGCCTGGGGTGGTATCAATTTGGTTATCGGCCTTAAGCCCCCTTTCTTGTGCTGGTCACTGTTTGAGCTGCTTCCATCACTGCCTTGTTCACTGACTTTCTCTGCTCTGAGCTCCTCACTTTGTTCATACAAATGGTGCGTTTTTCTCCCCATTCTTGTCCGGAATATTGTCTGAGACGCAGCCAACATTGTCTTGCGAAATGACTTTCGCAGCTTTGGGCTTCTGCTTTTGTGCCAGTCATAGTCTGAGCCGCTGCAATTATTGTCTTGTTCAGTGATTTTTGCAGCTCTAGGCTCCCCGCTCTCGTCCTGCTCAACTTCTGTCTGAGGTGGTTTCAATGGCTTTCTCGGCCTTAAGCCCCCTTTCTTGTGCTGTTGATCGTCTGAGGTGCTAACACCATTGCCTTGTTCAGTAACTTTGTCTGCTCTGAGCTCCTCTCTTTGGTAATGCTCATAGTGCGTTTTTCTCCCCATTCTTGTCCGGAGTATTGTTCGAGTCAGCTTTGGGCTTCTGCTTTTGTGCCAGTCATAGTCTGAGCCGCTGCAATCATTGTCTTGTTCAGTGACTTTTGCAGCTCTGGGCTCCCCGCTCTCGTCCTGCTCAACTTCTGTCTGAGGTGGTTTCAATGGCTTTCTCGGCCTTAAGCCCCCTTTCTTGTGCTGTTGATCGTCTGAGGTGCTAACACCATTGTCTTGTTCAGTAACTTTGTCTGCTCTGAGCTCCTCTCTTTGGTAATGTTTACGGTGCTTTTTTCTCTCCATTCCTGTCCGGAATATTGTCAGCTTTGGGCTTCTGCTTTTGTGCCAGTTATAGTCGGAGCCGCTGCAATCATTGTCTTGTTCAATGACTTTCGCAGCTCTAGGCTCCCCGCTCTTATCCTGCTCAACTTCGGTCTGAGGTGGTATCAATGGCTTTCTCGGCCTTAAGCCCCGTTTCTTGTGCTGTTGACCGTCTGAGCTGCTAATGTCATTGTCTTGTTCACTAACTTTCTCTGCTCTGAGCTCCTCTCTTTGGTAATGGTCATAGTGCTTTTTTCTCCCCATTCTTGTCCGGAATATTGTCTGAGTCGCGGCCAACATTGTCTTGCGAAATGACTTTCGCAGCTTTGGGCTTCTGCTTTTGTGCCAGTCATAGTCTAAGCCGCTGCAATTATTGTGCTGTTCAGTGACTTTTGCAGCTCTAGGCTTCCCGCTCTCGTCCTGCTCATAGGGTTTTGATCTTCCCACTCTCGTCCCGGTCATGGTCTGCACTGCTGCCAAACTGGTGTCGGTAAATTGCCTCATAGGCTTTGCAATCCCTTCCTTGTCAGGTTTAATGAGTAAAGCAGCTTTACGGGCTCCACTTGAAACATCCCAGGCAAACAAAACAGATCCACCCCATTCGTCCTTACTATACACGGTATCTCCAGTTAGGGAAAGTTTAAGGGAATTAAGGACCTTATCACCATCGCTGCATTTTGTTTGTTCATAGGGAAACAACATTTCTATAGAACCACTTCTTGGGTTACTTCTTAAAATAGATTGTTTGTTCAGCACAAACACGAATGTCCCCAAGGAAGGAGGCGAGGTTTGCCTTCTACAACAGAGTGGATCTCCAAGCATGAAACCAGACCTACTGGTTGATTCCCATTCCCACGGAACATATGAAACATTCTCAGAAGCTACGTCAAGAAAAACATTTCCACCATTCGATGTACTGACAGTTAACTTAAAAAAGTCAGGGTGTTGATAACCGTAACGCAATGGACAATGCCAACAGTAAAGGAATCGGTGGTCAGGGGAGAACTTTATCATCCCACATATGCTCTGCAAGACCGTTTCCGCGACTAGTCGGAAATTACTCATCAAGTCAACCAAACAAACTGAACCATCTGAATGAGAAATCGCTGCAACCCTTCCATCCTGAGACCGAGCAAAAGTCAAGACGTTGTGATCTCTGGTGGTACGAGTTAGCTCTGTACCATTCGAAAGACTCCAAAGGATAAGGCATTTCGCATTATCGGGACAGTCCGTGAGAATCGTATCACCAGATATTGAACAAACAGAGAAGATACAGTTGCTTTCCGGAAAAAGTCTGTTTAGGTCTCCGTCAAAACTATAGGTTTCACTCAGAACTCCTGGCAAAACAAGCCTCCTAGTAGGATGAAACACAACAGAACGAAAACAAGACAATGCAAATGTGGATACTTCAGAAAGCGGCAATGAAAGGAAATGTGGCGAGAAAGAGGCTGGGGCAGCAGTCCTGAAGGCCTGAAAGAAACGGGAGTAACTCTTCACTTTGATGACAGGACGTTTCCAAACGAGCTTTCCAGTCTGAAGAGACCACAGCTGAATCGTTCCATCCCGACATTCACAAACCATGTAGTCTGACGAAGGTGAAACGTCAAAACAAGCCACTTCGGAAGAGCAATGAAATTTAGTTTGAACGATTCCTTCCAGATTGTTCTTGTCTAAGTATTCCATGTGGGATATGTGAGAATACTTACTCTTCAAGAGGTTTGATGCTTCATAACACAGCTCCGGTCCTCCTTCATTCAACAACGTTTGAAATATAACATGAGGCAGTTGCTTCAATGTACCAATATGCTTCCTTAAAAGAAACAACAAAGTCTTAGAGGCGGCCTGCCTTTTCACAGAAAACTTAGTTATGCAAGCGATATCTTCAGCGGGTATTGCACTATCCACGCGCAGCTTTGCGTAAACAAGCTCCACATCTAGGACATACTTATTTACGATCTCTTCAAGGCCGCTTGGTCTGATGTCTTCATCCAACTGAAGCATGTGTTGAACGCCATGTCGCAGAGAATACTTTGTGACGTTATCGAACTGTTGTGACCAATCAACACCTTTTCTTTTCACCTCATCAAATTCATTACCGCAAAGACGAGCAAGAATGAGGTGGCCTTCGTTTTCCAAGACGCTGAAACTGTGCTTACCATAGCACGACTGATCAACTAACCAGTCTCTGACTGACTTGTGAAAGAAGTGAATACACCCTTCTTGAACAGGCAGAAGCGACGATATGCAAGCAATGGCCTTGCTTATCTTTCGCTGAACAACTGAGGACACTTTGCCAGGGAACAAAAATTTAGAAACAAAGCCGAGTGGCAGTGGTTCTCGTGAAGCTACAATGACACTCAGTAGGCTTAAAAACATGTCTTCAGACATCTTGAGTTCTTTGCATAGTTCAGTCTCTAGACGTTTGAAATAAGACTGGTAAACCGACGAAATACCCGACGGTATGGTGCCATCAAGGTGTTCCCACTTGAGAACTGAGAAATTGTCCTTTATGAAATCTACCAGAAGTTGAGCCCATAAAATCACTCCTTCCGATTTTTCAACAAGTTCGGTCAAGATCGACTCATGATTATTGACTTGCAACATATGGCTTAAATGTCTTTCAAAGAGATGGCGAATGTCCTTCACGTTCTCTTCATTGTTTGGCTCCAGCAGTAGGGGTCGAAGACCTTTCAGACTGTCCCAAATGTTTATTTCTGGCCGTGTTGTCACAAGGAATCGGATCCATATCGGGAGCTTGTTAAAGTACTTAGCAATTACTTCTAACAGCTCATTCCTTCCTTGGTATTCACTTTCATCTAAGGCATCAATTACAACAAGAGAGGTAAAACCGGGGTCACTTAATCTGTTTAGTGGCTCTTCAAACAGCAACTCAAACAAATCTTCCGTTTCCATATCATTGATATCCAGACCCAGATTTCTCGAAAGCTGCCCCACAAGGGCTTCTTTGTATTCTGGAAGAGAATACGATACATGACAAGCTAAGGACTGGAGCATCACCTTGGGATTCCTGTGACGCATCCTGTTATGTTGACAAAAATGGCTTCCTAACAGCCTTCTATCTTGTTGCATACGTTTGGAAATTTCAGCTGCAATAACAGACTTCCCCATTCCTACATTTCCAGCAATCACCATCACTCGATGAAAAGAGTTGTTGTCATCTAACCAATTTTTCACTTTGACAAAAATCGACGCTCGGGTCCCCCCTAAATATCTTTCTGAGTGGTATTCAATAATGTTTTCAGTGTCCACCTTAGCAAGTTGCTTAAGGACATCTTCCTCTTGGTCTGTGTTGAGTTGGGCTTGACGTATTTCCGTAACAACTTGATGTACATCCTCTAGCTTGGTTTTGCTTTCCTGGAACGTTTCATAAGTCTTCAGAAGAGTCTGTTCCATTTCTTTCTGAGCTTGACACACGTCCTTTAACTGTGTTTTGATGTCCTCTTCACTGTCAGCCCAGTCACGTAACGCGTCAAGATAATCCTCCTCTCCGCCTCGCTCTGCCTTCAGTCTGTCAATTTCTGATTGCTGTAACCCAAGAGCTAAAAGAAAGGCACTGATTTCTTGCCACAGAACAGAGAAGGAATAAGTATCAACACCAGTACTGGTCACATGACCATACAAAACGTTACGGAAATACTTGACACGAGCAAGATTCGCCTCGTGAGAGTTGTCACTAGGGGCTGGTTTAGTGTGCCATCCTGTAAGGGGAGGGGCCAATCCACAAATGTTGGTCAGAAGAAGGAATAAAAGAGTGATGTCAAACGTGTTGGAGTCTGGTATGGCTCCTCCAGGCGGGAAGAGTTTGTCCCACTGATGACCATTTAGAACCCTTCGCCGCAAGAGGTTGTTGAGAGCGGAATAATTGGCATTGAGATCAGCAGCCAAGTTGGCTGGAGGATGATGATAATTGAAAACATTTCTTAGAACTGTTGTTCCACCATCGATAAGAAGCCTGCTCAGCTTGGATCCATTTGTCTTTTCTTCACAGCTGGCCAGAGGCGATGGTCCTGCAGCTGCCATTCTAATCGACAGTAATTATAACTGATCGGCTGCAAGAAAGAAAAAGTTAACACTGTTAATACTGAAATCTCAAATACATGCACGCAGTGAAAACACAGTGGAACTGACACCTTATTCTCATGCACGTCACCCTACGCAAATGAATGTGGAGAAAGGATGCAGCATTCGAATAGAGTTTGGATAAAAGGAAAAAGATAATTGTTAATAGAGTATGCTCACGACCTTGGCGCAATATATTGATGACATCCTGCTACGCCCACCCATCACTCCCTCAGTGGAAGGGGGGAGGGGTTGTTATGAAGCAAGAGTGTGGCGTGATTGTGAGACGGCGTGATTTTATTCCTTTTAAATTTTGTTATTAACGGTTTCACTCGTCTGTCAGAGCAACGGAGAAGTTGCTGACAGATCGCATTAAAAACTAAAGCTTATAGATTCAAGAAAGTCACGATTTTGTGTAGTGTGTGAGCGAGCCATTGTACTGTGAGGATTGAAGCTGTGAAATAAACCCTGTTTTGTTTAAAACTGTGATATCGTGAAGAACGGCCTTACGGCATTCACGACAGGGTCGAATAAACATTGTTTTCTTTGGATAGTAAATTCCCTGGGGGTGAAGACTTCATTGGTCTCGCTTGTTTTACCAGCGAGACTCTTAAAGTGAAAGCGCTTTTTATCGTATGTGCGCGCCAAGAGTGGTCATTGTCCCAGTAGTTCCTAGCGGAGTCCGTGGAACCTGGGGATAGGAATGGCGGCATGACGAAAGCCATGCATACAGAGCGTAGGAAATATTAATGCAAAAGATGTCGCGCTTTCCGGAACAAGTCGGTTCACAATTTCAATGGCTTGAAAGCGTTAATTACTTTGGAACAAGTGATTACTTCAGTGGTCGAAAAAAAGAATCTTAATGAGCAAAACGTCGATGGTGAACTGGTCGGGTGTTGTAAACTTTTATTGTATGCAAATGAGGCTTGTGATGAGCACGAGGTTCATTTTCGGCGATGGTTAAAACGACGCGCCCTATTTATTACGTTTTTGATGTAATTTCTCTTGAATCGAGGCCCTTGATTTTCGAGTATTTACACACGCGTACTTACAAATTGTCGAATACGATATATAAAGTAAATATCCTGAAGAATACTCGACCGTTGTTAAAGTAGGGAGTGAAAAACTTTCGCGAGGAAATTCTGTTTCATGTAGAGGTCAGTGACGGCCGTAGGATTATTAACTTAAATCGCCTCATCATTTCTCATCTAAACTCCAAGCACGCTAGACTAAACGCTATTAAGAGCGTTCTTGTTTTTTGCTTTTTTACGTGCGCGCCAAAAGGGGTCATGGTTCTAGGCCTTCCTAGCGGAGACCGTGGAAACTAGGGATAAGAATCGCAACGTGTCACAGTACCATGTTTTTATTTTGCGAAGAAAGCTTAGGAAAGATTGATGCAAAAGATGTCGAGCTTTTCCGGACTTTTCCACGACTTCTATAGCTTGAAAGCGTTGATTACTTTGAACAAGTGAATACTTCAGTGAAAACTTCGATGGTGATGCTATAACTAAATTTCATTGCACGAAAATGAGCCTTGTGATGAGCATGCGGCTTATTTTCGGCGATGATTGAAATGCCGCGCCACGTTCATCACGTTTTTGGTCTCGAGTTAATTTTCACGTGTTTATACACGCGTAATGATGGGAATCGGCTGAGATTTTATCATCGATCATCGGAAATAATCAGATTGACCCAAAAGATCGATCATGCGATTATAATCGGAAAATATATTAATAAAAATCTTTTGATAAAAAAACTCAGCCGCCATGTTTGTTCAGGACAACATTAAATGGGACAACGAGGAGAGAACCCTGGGAACCAACTTGAGTTTCTCTTCGATCTTCGCAAGCTGTTTAAGTCTGTTTGCTTTCATCTACTCTTGAAGAAAGTAAATCTAAAAATGTATTTTATGACCAGCGACTAATTTAGAATAATTTCTAAGACAACCATCAAGGTAATTTTTTTCCGTATGAAATAAGCACTATCAAATGTGAACAAAATGCAAAACCTAGCCTGGCACGAGCGTGCTTCGCCGAGTTTTGGAAAACATTAAAAATGTATGAAACGTAGGAGAAAGAGATATTCAGTGGAAGCTGCCGTTGCAAGTCGATTAAAATGTGCATACAACACACAATTTTTTTAACGTTTTTATTCGTCATCAATAATTTTTTTTCATTTGTCTCCGATCATCGATTGTCATCATCCATAATCGATTGTCGCGTCGCTTAAAGATTTTCGATCAAGGATCGATTATAATCGATGATCGGCACACCAGTATACAGGCGTAGTCAATCATCGTCGAATACGATATAAAAAGTAAATATCCTGAAGAATACTCGACCGTCGATAAAGTAGGAAGTGAAAAACTTTTAGCGAGGAAATCCTGTTTCGTGTAGAATTAATCGCCTCCTCGTTTCTTATATCTAATCTCCAAGCAAGCGAGGCTTAACGATTATTTTTTTAAGAGCGTTTAGTGTTATCCTTGACCCAGACATCATCCAAAATCAACACTGCAGCAGTTTTCACTGTATACTGTGTGATACCTTAAGTTGTGGCTTGATAGGGAATGAAAAAAGCATAAAACCAAGAAAACATACCTATGAAACCATCCACCAGTTTGTCCAGTCCTTGAAGGACATGCCAATTTCTGCCAACTGCTAGCTCTTTCTGATAAAATCCAAGCAAAATAAAAAATAGAAAAATATAACAACAATGAAGCAAAAGGTTATAATAAATGCCTAAACAAAATGTGTTTTTTCATTGTCTCAAACTGCTGCTAAGTGACACACATGCTGTCACTGAAAACCAACAACTAAATAGCCATTTATTGAAAAGAAAAACGGTGTTATTGTTCTTTGCAGACGCTAACAGATAGATAGAGATAGATAGATAGATGCTTTATTGTCTTAATACCTTGCAGCCATAGGCTGAATTACGAAAGACATTACAATAAAAGGACATTACAATAAAGACATTACAATAAAAAAAGTATATAAAATATAACAATAAAAAGGTAAAAAGTATAAAATTGCTACTATAACTAACTAATTAAACACTACTAAGCGCAGAAAACGTGACTAAAAATGAAAGATTTTTTTTTAACATGGCCTTTCACTCTGTACTTTCTGTAACGTTGTAGCTTTGTACAGCAACAAAACAGTTCTTGTAAACGTAAACAAACGATATTTTAATCCATAAGTCGGTTCACTGAAAACTACTGTACAAGATCCCGAGCACATGTAAAATCTGGCATCCTATTGGAAAACAACTATCACGTGACGTTACACCCTTCCTTTTGTAAAGAAAAGAAAGAAAAAGATAGAACTTATACCGCAATAAAGATACGAGTAATGGTCTTAAAAATGTCCTCCTAAGTAATAAACACAACAACGCATTAGGAAACCTATGAGCCCACTAAATGGCAGTGAAATGGGCAAAAGTTCAAAGTTCTTGAGTTGCAATAGATTATAACGAAAAGTTCAATGTCTCTGAGTAAAAACTAGGTCATGCTAAAGTCCTTGAAACGAGCAGGTAACTTAATCTGACGTCTGCTCCTAGTCACTGCAGCTACTCCTGCAGGTGGTTCTTTCACAGGGGCTGGTACTGGCACCGTGGGCCTCGAAGGTGGACCAGAGACGTCTGTTGATACTTGTTGAGGTGATTGTACGGGCGGCTGTTCAGAGTCCTTTACCGCTTCTTCTGCTGGTGGTGTTGACGCAACCGTGACCTTTGAAGGCCCGACCTCCACTTCCAGAGTGTGTGTAGCTGGAGGTGGATGGTACTTCTTTAGGTGCCTTCAGTTTCTCCGAAAAACTCTTCCGTCTTCAGTGCGTACTGCGTATGATCGCACATCCACTTGGTCTTCAACTTGAGCTTTCTTCCAATTTCGAGCTTAGGGACAAGGTAGTGGTATGACAGAATCACCTTTGCGTAAGGGCGACAACTCTCGAGTTCCTCTGTTGTAGTAATAGGTCTGACGCTCTTTCTTCTTAAGACGTTTCTCTCGCACACCAGCCGGGGTTGTGGTAGGTTTAAGAAGACTTGTTGCTGTTGGAAGAAGTGTTCTTGTCCTTCGGCCACAAAGTCTTTGAACGGGTGAACAACCTACGCCCTCCGTCGGGGAGTTTCTCCAGTCGAGCAGTGCTAAATAAAAATCGGTTCCAGCTTGCTTGGATTTCTTCATTAGCTGCTTTTTTTTTACAGCGTTCTTTACGCGGCCGTTACTTTGAGGGTAGTTAGGAGAACTGGTGTCTAACTCAAACTCATAAGCTAATACGAAATCTCTAAACTCTTGAGAGTAGAGGTGGAGCATTGTCGCTCTGAAACAGGTTAGGTATACCGTGATTGGAGAAATGGCGTTTCAACCTGGTGATGATGGCTCTTGCATTCTTCCTCTCAAGATGGTAAATTTCAAAATAACCAGAATAATAGTCTACAGTACATAGATAGTCCTTCTCATCTAAGGTGAATATGTCACAACCAACTTTCTGCCAGGGGCGTTCAGGAACATCATGTACTATGAGAGGCTCTCGCTGAGGGTGGCTGGCGTACATGTTACATGTATCACAGTGTTCAATGTAATCAGCGATTTCTTGGCCATTAAACGACCTACCGTGCTCTTCTTAGGCATCCTTGTATTCTAATGTGAGCAGCTTTCTGTCTCAAGGTCTGAGGGATAACACATCTTTGGCCTTTAAAGATGATTCTGTCTTGTACGGCAAGTTCGTCTCTGACATTGAAGTACTCGGAGACTTTGCTCGTGATAAAGTATCGGCGAGATACATCTCTCTTCCGGGCCTGTATCTGATTTCTGCGTCATACTGTGGTAAGCGGAGGAGAAGTCTCTGTAGACGTTTTGGTGCAGATGCTAATGGCTTACTTGAGATGGACACCAAGGGCTTGTGATCTGTATAAAGAATAACTTTTCTGCCATAAACGTACTGATGGTTGTGTTCTAAACCAAACACTTGAGCCAAAAGCTCCTTTTCAATTTGTGAGTAACGCTGTTCAGCCTGTGTCAGAGCCCGGTCTTGCATAGCTGACAGGGTGGTCTTCTTGTGGGAGTACAAAATCAAGTCCTTGTGAAGAAGCATCTCCACTTCCTTCTGTAGGCTTTTTAGAATCAAAGTACTTGAGGACTGCCACAGAGGTAACTGCTTCCTTGATCTTGTCAAAGGCAATATCCTGTTCTTTTGTCCAGAACCATGGCAGATCTTTATGGGTTAGACGCCTGATAGGTTCACAAATCTGAGAGAGGTCACCAAAGAATTTTGTGAGGTACTTCACCATACCCATCAGCCTTTGCACTGCAGCTTC